CATTGACTGCATCTAAAACCCAAGACTCATGACACAGAGCCTGTTCGAAGCTTGGGCAACAAAAGTGCGAATCACCTCACCACCATAGCTTGAAGCTCCAACTGAAGCCCATAGTTTTTTTGGTCCACTGAAGCTGCAACCCCTGAAGTGATCTGCAGAAACTGGCTGGTGGGGCGGATGAAGCTGTGCAGTCACCGAGTGACCCAGCCGCTCCGATAACGGTCACCGAGGGTGCGGAAGCAGACGACCGTGGGCAAGGCAGCGTGGCACGTGACCATCGTGGTGACCGCGGGTGGAAAGTCCGTTGGAAGATCGAACAAAACGGCCATGTTGCACATGTTGCGGCGTCTGCTTCTTTTTTGGCAAACTGAGGTCACTTTGCTTGAGTCGGGGTGTTAAGCTGTGTTTCAGCTGTTCAAACCAGAACACCAAAAACAGTCCATCTTCGCCATGTCTTGCCACTTCACCATTCACAAAAACGCGATGGCGACCATCGACTCCAGGAAGGAGACTGGGTCTATGAGGTGGGACAGGCACGGCAAGCTGAGCAGCTGCACGCGTTTCGTTGCGTGTTTATGGTTTAATTTTCGGATCTTTTGGGAGAAGGGTTTTCACCTTTGGCCAACAGATGGCAGGATGTTTTTCAGAACAGTTGGGTTGATTCTTTGATGTTTGACGGTTGATATATGGAGATGCTTGACCATCTAGGCAGGAGGGGTTTTATGAATCAACCGTCGACATGCACGTTTGTATTTTTGGTGTGTCCTCTCTTTGCACTGAGTTTTGTGCCTTGCCAACGCTTGAGAAAATTGGAGTCATTCTCAAGCAAAAAGGGATGGAGTCAAAGATTTCCCATATTGATGGTTGTTGATGGTTGCTTCGCAGCTTCTACATGCTTCTACCACCGAAGGTCGCCCCATGATCACATCTTTGGGGTGTTCACCCAGGTTTCTCGAAGTGGGGACTTCACCCACCTTCCCTACTCTCCAGTCGCCCGCTCTTGGAACTGGTCACCGGTGCGATGGGCGGCGTTCAGGCCACGGAGGCCGCCTTCGACCCCTACTCCGACACCTTGCGAGCGTCGTCGCTCCTCGGTGGAACCCCCCGTCCGACGCACTGCCGGGGATTTGCAGAGAGGGTGCAGGTCGGGTGGCTGGATTGAGGACTCAAATAGTGGGGGCGAAAGTCCCCTCATTGCCTACGAGTCGTACCAGCCTGAAGATGGGACAATGGGTGCCTGATCCTTCCGAGGAAGGTGGCCTGATCATTGGTCAATGGGCCACCTCAGATCTTCTGAAAGACGGAATCTTTGTGGTCTTCCTAGTAGCTTCAATGGAGCCAGCTGAGATGAAGTTGTGCGGGTCGTTTGCAATCGTTTGCCATGACGAGGAGCAATCCAATCTTTCTGCGGAAGGACACGCAGCTCCCTCAGAGAATCCTAGACATGCTTCCCACCGAATTGACTTTTGTCAATCTCTCAGGGGGTGTGCCTCCAACAGCAGCTAACGAATCGTGATGTGTTTCATGTTGTTTCCTTCCTTAAAGGCACCATGTTTTCACAGACTGATGTGCAAGAAACAATCGCCATCACAGTCATCCGGGGCGGCGCTGAGGCCGGAACATTTTCAATGGCGGATCCGCAATCTCCCTTACCCGGCCGACGTGTACAGCGTGTCGGTGCGCTCTGATGGATGCCTGATGGATGCTTGATTTTGTTGAGCCAGTCAGGGCTGGGACTGAGTCGCGGAGAGTTTGGGTTTCCATTTCTTCAGCCCTTGGATGGAGAACCTCCATCATTCTAGCCGCCTAGGAACAGCGGAAGGAATGCTGAACGCTGGGCAGAAGTCAACCACGGAGTCCACATCTGCCACAATTTCATGACTCTGCCTGATTGGCGGCATTTCCCCAAAGAGCATCTCTGGACAGGGCGATGGGCTTGCGGTCTTGTTTCTGCTTCACCATCATGGTGAAACCGATGCAGGTGGATCATGAGAAACAGGAGATTGTCGTCAGAACCTCCAACAAGAAATACTACAAGAGGACTGTCTATGGAGTCTATGGGTTGCTGTTTTAGCAAGCTGCTTGATTGATGCATTTTGACCGCCATTCTCGGTGAAGTTTTCTTTACGCACACCTGTGCCACATCGTGTTGATGGGCACATCCTGTACGCGAATGGGTCGGAGTCATATTACTTGAACTGAATCTTCGTGACCCGTCGGTGATGCAGGAGTTTACCAATCACCGGGCTGGCTTTTGTATGTTTTTTCTTTTTACATGTGACACGTGTGTTTTTCTTAATCTTCAACTGTTTCGAGGAAACTGATTTGATCCGCGGCCTCCCAAACGATTCTTCTTTCTTACGACTTTTGAACGGCTTTGGAGGATTCAAGTGCCTGACCTGCCGCGCTATGACTTGAAGTTCCAGGAGCCACAAGAGGGAGTCCTTTTTTTGTTACTTTATTTTTTCGGCAAAACCTGACAGTAAGTATATAAAATATGTACATATATAATGTATATACATGACTCATGTTTTTGGCCGAGCACGCCGCACGGATCTGCAAGACTTTCCGGAAGATCCAGGTTGTTGGTCTCGTTTGCAATCGTTTGGTCGTCGGATTTGCAGATGGCATAATTGGTAAAGCCTCCGTAGATCCGTTGTTCGGAAAACTGGTTGCGGGTCAACACCGGTGGACCATGGTTGACCACCTACAATGAACAGAATAGCTTACCAGTTAGGTCAACCTACCAGGGTTTGGAGCTCCAGGTTTTCAACCAGAGCGTAGATCCCCGGGATCCTTTTGATCCTGCAAAAAAGGCCCCAGAAACGACCCACAGGGGCAGAGAGCCCTCGTTGGGAATTGGTTGGAAGTCCAGGATGAATTGCTGTCCTGGAAGCACCAGTTGCTTGGATGCGTGAGCGTGTGACCCGTGACCATGGGGAGGCCGACGCACGCGTCTATCCTCTTTGCTTTGGCGGAGAACGGTTTCGATCTGCGGGACGACGATGAAAACACGGCGGGACACTTTGGAGTGACAACATGTCTGGGGATGGAGTGACCTGAGGTCGGAGAGATAACTGAAGGGCCTCTCCACATAAGGACGAGTTTTTGGACACCTTATTTGCTTTCTATTTAGGGCATGAAACGAGAAAATACTGAATACTGTATCTCTCAATCGCAATGGTGGCAACCGAAGTCCACAAAGCGTCCAAGCGCACAAAAGAAAGCTCTTTATGGCTGCGAGTGTCGAGGTCGTCGCCTAGCGGTCTCAAGGGCCCTTCGGACAGAAAGATGCGACGGAAGTCGCACAACTGGAAAAGAATGTCCTGACAGACATGTTCAAAGCAAAATGCATTCGCATGTTGACACAGGCCAAAGCTTTTTATGGCCATCGAAAAACATTCAAAATTCAAGCCCTCATGACCGATTCAGGTCACTTCGAAATTCCCATGCTCCGCAGGCATGGTCAGGAAGGACGGTGGCTGTCCTTGTAGGCAAGGTGGTTTCTCCATCAAAACTCAACTTCGTTTGGACCATTTTGTCCTTGATCTCACCTTTCTCATTCAGGAACTGAAGGCGGTTGATCCTCTCCAGGGATTCAATGCGAGCCCTCTGCCTCACAATGCGCTGATTGCAATCAGCAAGGAAGCAGATGTTGTCATTCCACATCCGGTGCCATTGACGCACCTGGTCATCCGAGAAGCCTTGAGTTCGTTCTGTTTTCAAAAGCTCTCGGAATTTTCGCCAGCGCTGGGTCGTGTAACCCTCAGTGGTCAGGATGAGGCGTGTCTGATCATCCAAAGCGCTGTTCGCATCATTCAAATCTCTCAACAATTTCCTCCAATCGCTGGAGCTGGTTTCCTCTTCAACTTCTTTGAGAAGCCTTTTCCATCGGTTGTACTCCTCATCTTCAAGCTCGCTGTCAGAGTTGCAAGTCGAACTGCCGGTGTCGATGCCCGGTCTGTAGTCGATACCTGGTCGTCTGGAGAGGGCCAGGATTTGCTCCATCACCTCTTCACGATGTTGAGGCAGGGTGCAAGTTCGGTCATTGGTCTCGACCGTTTCTTCTTTTTCATTCACTTCATTCTTCTTCCACAGAACCATTGCCTTCTCGAGGAAGAGATTGTAGATCTTGTAGGTCATGTGCTCCAGGCCAATACATGCAAAGAAAACCAAAACACCAACAGTGAGCCAAAAGCGAGTGCCCAGGTAGGACTCAGGGATGTGCTCATCGTTCTCGGTGGGGCTTCCTTCAACAACTGGCATTTCATTCGCAATTAAACAAGTTACAGCCGACATGGCTGCCGTTCTCCAAGCATCATGCCTTTGACCTTGTCGATGGGCATGGAGGTAGAAGTGGCGCCTGGAGCAAAACTTGTTCTTTGGATTGGAGGCATCACATGTTTTCTCACAACCAGGAAGGGCGCAGAGGTTGCCATCTTTCTCCTCAAGCGTGAAGATCTGGTTTTCGAAGATGTTTTTCGATGCCTCTTCATGTTCTCTTCTTTCAGCTTCTTTCTCCTCATAGGTGACCTTCTTGGCGGCGATGAAGTCCGGCTCAAAGCTCAGCTTGTGAGTTCCTCGGTTCAAGACATAGGCCAGGTTGTCTTTTGCTGCTGGCTTTGTCAAACCATCTGCTATTTGTTGCTGTGAGTTCACCCAAAACCATCGTCCATCAAGAGCTGACATTCGATCCTTCACTATCGCAACTTCGATTGCAGTGCGGCGTTCACTCAACTTCATGCCAGGGGTGATGCTTCGAGCAGCGTCAAACAAGGATCGAGCATCAGTGGCAAGTGGAGACGTGCCAAACTTCCTGAGGGCCTCAGTTGAACCAATGTCCAAGGTGGGGTCCACAACGCAAGCCATGAATATCTTACTCCATTCAAGCTCGTCAACAGCTGCGGCGGCGGCCTGGGCTTCAGCAGACAAAGAAGACCTGCAAATGCGCTGCAACTTCTTGGACTGCCACTGGAGTATTGTCAGCGGCATTGGTTTCTCTGAGCTCAACTCTTCATGATTGCACAGGAAGACCAGCAGACCTCCCTGTGACGTTCCGTCAGGGCGAACTGCCCATGCAGCATCTGTGTATGCACCAATGCACAACGAAGAGATGTCGCCGTGGGCGTGGAAGGTCATCTTGTAGTCCTTGGTCACATTCTTTGCAAATCTCAACAGCTTGTTGGCCTCATTGATGTCCTTGATCATGGGGCTGCTGGATGCTGACTGCAAGATGCTGACACTGGCACACAGTTGTGGTACACATTGATGAGCTGGCCAGGCAAGTGCTCCTAGCAATGCACGAAGTTGTTTGTGCTCTCTGTCAGTGCAAGCATCGTTGACCATTGTTTTCCGTGGCTTATCCAAGCAAATCGGCTTCACCTTCTGACAGTATTGCTCGAGGGAAATCTGGATGGTTTCGTGGTTCAAACTCTGGACCACATCGGCTCCACAGAACTTCACTCCCAAACTCGAGCCAAAATCCCAACTGCCAAACTTGAATCGCCGGGAAAGTTTTTGAAGGCGGCCAACAAAGGTGTTCTCATCATATTCGAACTCACCTGTGATGTCATTCAAAGTCGTGACACCTTCTCCAGCACCGATGAAGTCGTCCACGTGGAGGCCTAAAATGCCATCAACAATGCAATGCGTTCCATTGTATTCGAAGACGCAGAAGGGGTCATCACCATCGGCAGCTTGTCGCAAAGAAAGATACACACAGCGGTCGAGTGGGTGTGCAATCAAGTTCAACTCATGCAACAAGTACTCATTTGCTGTGTTGTTCCATTGTCGTGGTGCACGAACATCTCCAAAAGCTGGTTTACAGGCTTTCATGATCTGCCATGGCTTGAGGTCAATCTTTTTCTCGAGCAAGCGACGCATGTCAGCTGAAGGTCGGATGTAGATTCTCGTGGTTGCATCAATGCTATCCGCCTGCATGAAGGCTGACTTCACATCGGCTGACCAAAGCTTCCATCGCTTGTGAGTTGCCATTGCATAGACAGAGTGTCGGCCAAGCATGGACAGAGTTGGAGATTCCCGCTCAAGCTCTTCGTTGAGAACATCCTTGTGCTTGAAGCCTTGGATGATGACGCGAGCATTAGCTTGTGGCCCTTCTTTTGTAGGCTTCCATCGTTGTAGAAACCTGGCTGGGATCACTTCACCATCACGGGCCTCATCTTCATTGACAGGTCGCCAAGCATCATGATCGAACCAAACCTGCAACGCTTTGCATCGAGCCTCCTCGAACAGCTGCTTTTCTGCAGGAGTGAGTTTCTTCTCGCTGAAGGCTTCAGCAACCAGGCTCTCATCGGCATTCATTTCATTGAAGCGGTTCTGGAAAGAGCGGTCATCCTCACCAACTGCAGGTAGGCCATCCAGAGTACGTGCATCGTTGTAGGACTTCAAAGCGCTCTGCCTCAAGTTCTCGAAAGAGGCTGCACGTTCATCTCTGGGGATGGGACTCCGCGATCTTGCCCTGCTTTCATTTCTCTCTTCTGCTGTTGCTGTGGTTCGTGTTTCTGCAGCGGCGGCTGTTTGTGTGTCTGCAGCTGCCGCAACGGGTGTGTGTGGTTCTGTATCTGCAGCGGCGGCTGTTTGTGCTGCAGCTGCTTGTTGCTCTGTCTTTGTCGTTTCTTCGATTGTTTGTGTGTTCTGTTGTCCGTTCATGTTGTCATCTTCTTTCGGCTCAAGCCGCTCATTCGTCATTGTTGGAGGCGAGGTAGCTGACAACAAGGGCGCCTTTGCATTCGAAAAGGTGGGTCCGGTGGCAAGATCTAAAAATCGGACAGGACCCTGCACAGGAATCAAGGCATTGCGGACTCGATCACAAACAGGTTGTCTGAGAGCAGTTTCCGGCATAGCGTCCAAACGGGCCAGTCGCTCAGCAGGCACTTCTGCTCGAACATGCTCAGGGGCACAACGAACCAAGCTGCTTCCGTGGGCCAACCAATAGACATGAGGTCGGAGAATGCCGTCCTCAGTGGTGCGAGGCTCAATTGCGCACACGAGTCCAGGTCCGCGCCATCGATGCGCGTCAAGCTTGGTCTCGGGAGAACGCCAGTAGAATGCATAATCTCCCAGCTGAAGAGGTTCAAGCTCAGGTCGTGGGCGAGACAGAATGGAGCGCTTGAGAAGTGCATCATGATTTGCTTCGTAGAAAGCTTTGGATGCCAGATGCCTCAATGCATGATCTTGCTGAACGGCCTCGTGCACATCAGGTCGAGTTGGTGCGGGTTCATCGATGAGTCCACCACTGGCTGGAGTGTAGCCAAAGACCATTTGAGCTGGTGATGAGCCATGCACGTTCCGAAGGCGATTCCTTTGACTGCAGGCCATGCGAACGGCATCAGCAAGCTCCACATTGGGTTCACCTTGTTGCATCTTGTAGAGCTGAAGTCGGCGAACTGCATGCAAGCGCTCGACTGCACCCATCCTGTAGTGTGCCTCCTTGGGAACAATGATGAGCTTGATGCCATACTTGTCAAAGAACCTCAGATACTGCTCACTCATGTGGGCTCCAGAGGCATCAGTTCGAAATTTGCTCGGAGGTCCAAAAGGATGGATCCATTGTTCCTCAAGCACTTTCATCTCACATTCTTCAGTCTCTCGCTCCACCACTGCATTGACCTCATACTTGGTGAAGGTGTCGAGGATGGCCAAGATCTTTTTCTTCTCATTGTTCCATTTGACATGGAAGACATCAGCTTCAAGCATCTCATTGAAGTGCGAAGACTGGGGCAATGAACCAGGCTTTGGCAACTTGCTCATGAGGTGTTTGGCACAAACATCGCAACGAAAGTCACGAGCGCACTTGATGATGGAGTCGTCCATTTGTGCATCCCTCATGGCTTTGATCAACTTATCGTTGCCAGGATGTCCCAATTGTTTGTGCAGCTTTGTCACCACCGAAAGAGCTTGTTTGCTGTGACTCTTCATGAGCTTCTTTTCTTCCTCGGTGATTCCGGAAGTCTCTGTGGTCTTCTGAGTCTTCTCATCCATATTGACATCCTCGGAGACGAAGATTTGAAGAACTTCACGTTGTCTCCAGCGACGTTCCATAAAGGCCATAATGGCATTGGCTGCACACTTCACGAATCCAGGTTCGTAGTTTTGCATTTGTTTCAAACTGCGACTCTTGCCATCCATGTTGACGTGGTCATAGCTGGAACATGTGCACGGAAGGTTGAGGGCCTCATAGGTTTCATCATCATTCGTTCTCAATCTGGTAGGTTTCTTCACCTTTCCGACATAGTTGCCCTGTTTGTCATAGTAGCACAGTCCAGTTTGGCATCTGTTGCACACGGCGTCATAGCAGTTGTCAATGCTGTTCAATGCTTTGGTGTCCCAAGAAGCGGCATGATGTGGTTGTTCAACTGCAAAGCCAGAGTTGACGTCGTCGCAGATGTCACTGGTTTCCTTGACCATCATAAGGTGTGAATTCTCTTCCACATCACGCTGGTACATCAAGTTCTTCATCTTCTCGGGAGTGCCACAGTTCAATCGTTGAATGGTGCTCCATACACGACATGGCGGTGCCATCCAAACATAGTGTGGTTTCACCCTTTTCACAAGCTTCTTGAAAGCCTCTCTGACTCTTGGAATGCTGAAGTCCCATTCTGGAAGTCCGAAGGTCGATACCTCAACATGAGGATAGTTCTTTGCCAGGTAGGTGGCGATGTTGCCCTCATCGACATACACCTCGAAGAAGATCAGCTTCTTGTTTTCATCAATTCGTGCTCTGATTTGATCGAGGATCTTGAAAGCTTCGTCCTGTTCTACTTCAAGGAGCACATGGTCATCACAATTCGTGGCTTCAGATTCCAGGATCGGCTCGATGGCAAAAACGTCATTGTTGCGGAAGATCTCCTCAGTGATGAGTGCCATGTCCTTGGTGTCACCATCAAAGTCCAGGAGGTTGAGTAGGTAGTGTCCTTTGGCTCCTCGTGCCGGCTTGAACCAAGGAGATTTCACCGATCTTGAGCTCATTGGTTTCATAGTTTTGCTTCACCTTCCAGTCCTCGAGAGTAGGGCGAGCGAGCAGGAAGGGCGTAGGTCCCGGCACGACAGAGGCACAAATTGGAAGTTGCTGACCCTTCACCATGGCCATGAACTTTACCTCATAGCTCGATCGAAGAACTTCTCCTCCTCCGAACTTGAAGTCACGCACCTGAGGACGAGTTTGGATCTTGAGGACATCATCGAAGTTGCCTTCCTCAAGCCATTTCTTCCAGACTTCTTCTCCAACGATGGTGCGTGTGGCTCCAGAGTCAACAATAGCCATTCCAGGGCCAAGCGACACGAAGTATACCTCCTCCTCATCGAAGTGGCATAGTGGTACATCATCTTCCACCATGGTGACTTGTTCTTCAGGAACTTCTTTAGCACCTTGGGCTTGTACTCTATAGCGTTTGAAGCGAGGGCCATGACTGGATGTTGATCCTGACAGCGTTGACTTGTAGTCAGAACTTGAAGTGGTAGTCGACGCTGAAGACGGTGTATAGGGCTTTCTCAAACCAGCCATGGGTCGTCGTTGTTGAGGCGGAAATCGTCGTGGAGCTCCTTTTCCTTTTCCTTTTCCCTTTGAGGGTCTTGACTTGCTCTTGCCTTTGCCTTTGGACTTTCCTTTCGAACCGTAGCCATCATATTCAGGTCCAATGGCGACAATGGGGTAGAATCCCCTTGAAAGAGCAAGTTCCTTCATCCTCCTCCGCGAGTCCACATAGGAGATGTAGGCTTCATCCATCACGTCAGCTGCCTCCTCCAAATCCTCAGGGATTTCATCTTCGAAGCCTTCCTCCATTTCATCTTCATAGTATGTCTCATACCAATCCTCTTCATCATCCATGTAGAACTCCTCGTCAGGGTTGACGTCGTCCTCAACCATGAATCCATCATCCTTGACTGTCTTGGTGTTGGAGGACAAGTCACGAGGATTCGGCTTGTGGTCGCCGCCGAAGACTTTGAGCAAGGCTTGATGAACTTGATCATACTTGAGCTCGCCGTTGCAAAGACTCTTGATCTGGATGTGAGTCCACTTGGGCACACCAGACCGTGTGAGCAGGTGCCAACCAGCTAAAAGCGGTGGGATCTCGATGCCAATCTCCCGGAGTTTCTTCAACTGAGTCTTGTGGCGAATCAAGTAGGCCTGCATTTCTTCTCCCCGGCTTCTCATGAACAGCTGTACAGGCCGTCCAACAGCTTCAACACGGGCTTGAAGGGTTCCGTGTTCCGCTCGATGTCATTCAGGTCGAGCTGCTCTGAGGCTGCGTCCCAAGCCAAGTTCTTGAGAAGGCTAACCACCAACAAAGCTCCTTCGACTTCTGCATCCTTTGATCTCCTGCGACATTGGAGGGCAAAGAGTTCCAACCTTTTTCTAAAGCTCCTGTAGTTGGACTGGGTCAGGTCGTCGGCGATGGGAGCGGCTTTCGCCAAGCCACTGTCGAGTCCGCGGTATCCACCAGCTGCTGCCGAAGAAGCGGCTCCATTGGCTCTTGATGGAGATCGTGTCCCTTCAGGCTCAGGTGTCCATCCATCTCCTTCAGCAGGTGGGACTTCTTGCTCGCGGCGTCGACGTTGTTGTCCACCACCATTTCCTGCCATAGTGGCGCTGAACACGATCTTTGAGATCAGGTTACCTTTAAACGGTAGGAGGATGCCAAAGCAGTCTTCAATCAAAAAGGTCCACCTCCAAGATCTTTCCGAGGATCGTGTAGCGCTCCGCTACCAATCTCAATCGCAATGGTGGCAACCGAAGTCCACAAAGCGTCCAAGCGCACTAAAGAAAGCTCTTTATGGCTGCGAGTGTCGAGGTCGTCGCCTAGCGGTCTCAAGGGCCCTTCGGACAGAAAGATGCGACGGAAGTCGCACAACTGAAAAAGAATGTCCTGACAGACATGTTCAAAGCAAAATGCATTCGCATGTTGACAGTATCCTATAGGTTGGGGCAGATGGAACAGGTGATCCAACAGAAGTCTGATTTCTTCTTGACTGAGGCGTTTTTAATTTGGGCAAAGACTGGAGGATTTCTGCGGACGACCTGTAGACTGATGTGGGCCAGTTCCACAGCTCCCGCTAGCTCACTTCGTTGGAAATGGTCAACTGCATGACATCACAGGTTGGGAACCTCCTGGTCAATGAGGCGGACAGAAGATGTCCCCACTGGCCCTGTGTAACTTGGGGTACTGTTTGGAGGGACCAAACGTAAGCGATGGTGAGTATTTAAGTGTATTGTTGATACATATTTATCTAACATATTCACCTCACACTTGTTTTGGTGAATGCCAGCGTTTGTCAATCATCCTTATCCCCTGGCCTGGAAGATAGTGTTTACCCAATGCACTGTTCCCTGCATTTGAGGCATAGCACGCTGATCATCTCCTACCGAAAGTCTTAGACTCAGTTGGTTGAAGCTCTTCCCAGTCTTCACTGGGACCCCTAGAAACTTGAAGATTGATGTGAGGAATCTGAATAGGGACCCTTAAGAACAACAGGTTTTCGAGACATTTCCGGGTCGTATCTTCTTCAGTGGTGTCTACAATCGAGCCTATCGCAATTCATCCATTTCGATGCGGCTCTTGGCTTTCGCCAGTTCCACCAGGCCTCCCAAGATCTTGGCGGGCGAGCAAGACGCCCTGCGCGATGCGGAGAAGTGGCTTGACACGCGCGATGCGGAGACAGCGTCCGTCGCGACGGACCCGACGAGGGACCCTGAGGATTGATCTGGCTTGAAGGAGCCTCTTGAGAAGTCCCTCTGAAAACTAAGGCCCTCCTGATGCACTGTATTTTTTTGGCATCTCCTTATTGCTACTGCTGATTCTGCATCTGGGTGGTCATTCTCGGCCAGAACAACCCCCTGTGGCCAGAACGGGGAGTGCTTTTGGACCGCAGTTTGGAGATCAAGAGCGGCGTCTTTTCAGTTCTTAACTTAAAAGGGTTCTTTCCACCCTCTTGGAGCGGGCAATCATTCTTTTTCCGATGATTAGCTGGTCCGTCCAAGCATCAGAAGCGGTCCGTTATTTCTTTTTCTTCGGATGCTTCGGCTGCCTTCTGTTCGGAATGTTCCATTCTCTGCCAGAACAGCAGATACAGTAGAATGTCTTCGCGGATGCTCATGAACTCCCTGCTAAAGGGTAGTCATAGTCCTTGTGCGAGTCATGCAGTTTCTTTGGGCACTCTAAGTCTACTTCCTATGAAACTCAGCACCTTCTTCTTAATTGTCAATTTTGTCATATTGCCATTTAAAGCTATCATTATAAGGCAATAGCCTACACATTGCCAAACCACATATGCTGTTTGCACCCAAGCAGCTGATGAAGTTTGAGGAAATTGAACTGTCCCACTCCTCATTCATTCATTCGTTCGTTCGCTCGTTTGTTCATTCATTCATTCATTCATTCATTCATTGTGGCTGTGCGATACCACTACATAGACCCCTTCTTAATCATTCCTAACACTCCGTTGTTCGGCAACGTAAACCACTAGGACGAGGTGTAAATCTTCATGGATGAAGCAAACATGCTTCAAAACTGTTCGAACCAACACATATACATATCGGAAGGTCATGAGTTCTTCACACCAAGTTCTTGATCATCGGGTTTTTTCGTTGTTCCCCGCTCTCACATCATCGGTGTCCATAACGCCCAGCCGACCTTCCTTCTTGGGCCATACAAGTCATCCGAACACTTGGCTTCGACGCCAGGTCTGCGGTCAAGATGTGAGAACAGCGGCGGCGGTCCGCGGCGGACCAGCCCAGCAGGGTCGGACGTGGTGGCGGCTGAGGAGGACGAAGAAGAGGCTGAGCGGCCAGGGGGTTCAATGATGGAGGAAAGACACATTTACAACCCCCAGGTGTTCTTTTTCAAGAGAAGAGTACCAAATCTTGACAAAGGGTGATGCCAGAGATACACATCACATCTAATCTAAGGCTGGTTTTTGTTGATCTGAAGGTTCTTGGTTTGAGAGGTGTGCTTTTTCCTCTGCCAACACTTCCAATGGCCATCTTCGGCAGGATTTTTGCCTTTCGGCCAGATCCAAGGCGTTTGTTCATTCGCGAGAATTCGAGTTCCTACGCATTTCGTGCGTGTGCTGTCTTCTGCAATAGGGAACGTGCATGGCCAAAAAAGGTGCTCAAGTGAAATACGATTGTTGCAACCAACCTAAGCTCGCAAGGCGCTTCATTCAGCGCGCAGTCATGGCTACCTAGCATCTTCAGGTCCATCCCACCCCCAGACACCAGCATTGATGGACACACTGCTGTTGAGTTTTAGGGGCGTGACAGCCTGTGGCACTGGACCGGAGGAACACCAGTGAGGGCTTCCTGCATCCCATGATGGTCCGTGCATGTAGCTCGCAAAGTGTCGGTCCCCCGTGCTTTCTCTGAACCAACTGAAGCAACTGGGGGAGGCCGACCCAAAGCAACCAACCAACCACTGGCCTTACATGGAGTAATCACATAGTAACCAACTGAGTGAGTTTGTTGTCCATGACTATGACTCACATAGGAGTGTCCAAGTCACATGTGCCGAGAGTAAGGACGCCTTTCCTCCAAGTGACGGGTGAACCGGACGCAGCCATGGTTCAGAGACAAAGCTGGTCATCGCATTCGGTCATGCTTTGAACGCACCATTCAGCACTTTCCACACTTGGAATCCCTCCCTAGTCTGTAGCTGAACAAATTGAGATGTCGAGCCATCCGGAGACGGTGAGTGACAATTCGGTGTGGAAGCTGCTGCTTTGTGCCTCAGCGGAAAGGAGGGGTTCCGAACAGTAAAGCAGGTACTGCACGAAAACCTGGCTGACGGGCCAGCAAGTTTTGTGCGGTTTGGTTTTGACTAACAGTGATTTTGGGCGCTGTCGGTACCATACCATCAGACTGTGCAAAGCTGAGGTGTAGCTGGCATTTGGAGTTGCTTCTTCGCCTACGGCATCTTGCAGGAGCGTTCGTCCTCCGACTCTTCGATGTCGACGGGACGGGTTCGTCGCGAGGGTGCGGGTGCGGCGGGACCAAAGAACCGAAAAGGATCCGATAGGTTGCGCCAACAGTCCTGTTTGTACCTGTACAGAATCCCAAGGATTCTTGAAGCTGTTGTCTTACATAGAGTCGAGCCTTTTGGTCTGCTCAGAATAGGGAAGCCACGCGGCCGGGCGTCTGGTAGCTTCCAGTTCAGCAAGTGTCCATTCAGCCCGCCCAAGAGCAGAAGAGATCCGTTGATGTTGAGACGAGCACAAACCTCACCGAACACGCGCAAAGCAAGAGAGTCGAGCATCGCAAGGTACAGACATGTTCATTTGTACTTGGCTCAAGGTCTTGTTTAAGGGCAATCTTACAATGTTCGACACACTCTTGATCAGTCCCACTTCCGCTACAACAACACCGGCTTCAGCACACATGCCGGTCATATCCTCTAAATCTCTGTCTTTATGTTGAAGGAATATTGTGTCCATCCAGTTTTCCATCGAATTGTGTCCATCCGCTGCCTTCATTCGAATGGACGAACCGCGCTTTTCGTGAGGAGAGCATCTTTGTTTACAAGACGCCCGCGGGCGACAAGTTTTTGGGCTCAAGAGGGGCCGCCACCCGCGAGCGAGCGGGGCGGGGCGTATCGATCAAAGTGCGGTGTGGTGTCGGGATCGAGACACGCAAAGAGCCAGGACGGAAGAGGGAAAGCCAGGAGGGATCAAAGATTTTGGGACATCACACAATATAATTGTGAATTTGTTCGCAGTCGGCATCGTCAACTCATATCCATCACTATAGGCCCTAGATAAACAAGTTCCCACCAAGATCAGGCAAGTCTCAAGTGTTAGATCCACCAGAAGTGGCCGTCATATGCCGTCATGGGGTGGCCTTTCCATTTGCTTTCCATTCCTGGCTCCCGAGCACCCTTCTTTGCCATCTCCGGCGCAAGCGATCCGATCCCGGTTCGCCCCATGTTTCGGAACTCGGAACACTGTTAAGCCGACCCGCGACCTGCTGGAAGGTTCAAGCAGACCACGGTATTGTTGATTGTGGAGCACGCAGTGCTCAAAGCTGAGAATCGGCTGGGAGGAGTGGCTGCGAGGAGTGGCGATGTGGTTCAGTGGACCCGCTGGGTTTGGATGTTTCCCCTTCACAGAAGCGTCCACCTTGAAGTTCCCAACTGTATCAGGAGTGCCTAGTACAGCTGCAGCTACCCCATGCTACTCCAGTGCAGGGTTTGAGGAGAATGTCGCAGGTAGGCTGAGCCACTGCAGTCATCAGCCGACCTACTTTTCCCATCAAACAATGATTCCTTTAAGAATTCTCCTAATTCCACAGCTAGATTGGGTCTCAGGTCTGCTCTGGTTGCCTTGGCAATCATTCAGCACCTTGGCAGCAGTTGCCTAGCTGTTTCTCCCCAATCGTTTTGTCTGAGTGCCGTGAGTCCAAGGGTTAATTTTCGGTTGTTCTTGTGGGTGTGGCAGAGAATTGGAATGCATTCTACCTGCAGGAGCTACGAGTTTTCAACCCCATGGGCAGCCATTGACCGCTCATTTGTGTAGGTGTCTATGGGTTGTGGGGAACAGGTGTTGAATCTATTTGGGCTGAGAGTCCAAATCTATGTCTTCATACAATACTTATACATGCTTATGCATACATATTCATATGCAATAGATATATATGTTTATGTTCATGTATACTATGTACGAATGCATATGTATACATATATAGCACAATGGACATATACACATACATTTGGGTGTCTGTTGTGTGTATCACTTATATAATTCATCTAAAAAAGAAACATGTATATATCTAACACATGCATCACAGGCCTCTCAAGCTGGGGCCTGATGAGTCAACCAGTCCAGCTCGGTAGTCCGTCCAACGAGCCAGGCTCTCGGGAGGGTCGAGCAGCAAATGGTCAGGGAACCTAGCGCGCTTCTTTCCGGATCAGTCGATTTTGGTGGGTCTCATCTTTCGGTGACACGGGTTCAGTCGATTTCAGGGGGATATATGCATTGGCATTCACTGTGTTTGGTATGTATATTGCACTGAGTAATGCCTCTACTGAGTAGAGCTACGATGATATGTCCCCAAAACTCTTCGAAGCTGTTTGGCTGAGGGAGCAACTGCTTCACCCCCCCCGTCACCCCAATGTGGGTGGCGGGGGGGGTTGATAGAGAAAGGTGGTATGGGCACCGCTTCGAGCCAGGACAAGTGATCGAGTGTGCCATCCGTGATGGTGAAGGGCACGCTCAGGGAACGATCATCCTGGAGGTCGCGGCAGCCCTATCCACAGATGGTCAAGGTCATTGGGTGACCGCCAAGTTTGTGGGAGCTAGCGATTCCCACATGCAGTGGTGGATGACGGAAGGTGAGGGCAAAAAGTTGGCAGCAAAATGCGCTTACCACTTTTGCGAAGAGTCATCACACGACTGCAAAGTGACTCGACGAGGAGCCTCTATCCACGTGGAAAAGTTCCGGGTCCTGACGCAGAAGGAGATCAACAGTGGAGTTCCTGCTTGGGCCTTCGAGAAGAGTATGGGGAAGACCTTTCTAGAGTTTCTGAAGAAGAAGGACATGGAGCCCAGGCCCAAAGAAGCAAAGGCTGCGTTACCCTGGGTAGACCCAGGCGAAGAAGAGTCAGAGGATGAGGAAGAGGATTCAACCGTGGAGAGTCCGGGGAAGGAAGGCCTCAAGGCCAAACTCCTTAAGGCCCGTGACGAGGTGAAGAAGCTGGAGCGAGAGTTGGCCGGAAAGAAGGTCAGCACCAAGGCAGCGGGATCTAAGGACAAGAAGGAAAAGGTCAAGAAGAAGAAGAAGAAGAAGAAGAAGAAGAAGCCAACGCCCGAACGTCGAGGGTAAGGAGAAGAAGAAGCGAAAGAGGGCTAAGGAGTCACCCTCCTCAGGAGGTGAAAAGAAGAAGAAGAAGGCCTCCAGGGCAGACGACGAAGCAGCAAAGGAGGCGCGTATGGCAAAGAGGAAGAAGAAGGCCATCGACGAGTCCTCCTCGTCCAGCGATGACGTGGATGAAGGTCTGTTTGGGGAATTCCCAGAGGAGAAGGTTACCGCTGGTGCCAAGAAGGGCCGGCGTGATCGAGGGCCGTTTGGAGGTGGAGACTTAGTGAGATTCCAAGGGGAATCGTCCAGTGAGTCGGAGGCAGTTTTAGTCCCGAAGGCATCAAACCAGCTGAAGTTGATGCAGTACGCCAAAAGGACACCGGGCCGCCTGGCTTCAAGGCTCCTCTTGAAGATGCAGGTCGAGGGAGTTCAGGGGGCTGCGGGGGCGAATCCAGCCGATCTAGGAGAACTGACTCCACCAGCGGCCGTCCACTACTTCCATACGATGATCGTGCCGCAATTGTGCCAGCGCTTGAATCTGAGAGCCCACAGGGAGATGAGGACATTGTGTACAGCCCTGGACCTGTTAGCAAGAAAGCTGCCAGCCCACGCAGCAGACCTGCTGGGGCAGCGTCTGAAGGCGATCGAGAAGAGTTGCCACGACGGCCATTGGCAGGCAGCTGGGGCCGGACTCGGGCGGTCTCCTGCAAAGGGACGAAGAGGTGTTCATGAACAGGGAACACCTCCTGGAGCTCAAGCTGAAGGGCTACAACCCCCCGAGAGGGGGCGAGGGCGGAAAAGGAAGTCAAGAGAAGGGCGCCCGAAAAGGGAAAGAGAGAGGAAAAGGCAAAGGAGGCGAAAAGTAGAGAGAGAAGAAGGACTAGCAGATGAGGCTGTCACCACTGGACCTGCATGTCCCCCTGAGCCAGCAGATGCCGGAGGCCTGAAGGTCTTTCGCAGTGTTGAACGGTCTCCAGTTGAGCTGTTCGGTGCTTTGTGGAGGGCTTTTGAGGGCAAGGATACGTCGTTGTGTCGCCTGGCGCAATTGGGAAAGAGTCGAGGAGCAATGCCCGAGGACAAGTCCTCCAAGCAAGTGCGAGGCGACGAGCTGCTGCCCATTAACCCACAAGCAGTGCTGGCCTACTTGCATTCCTCAGGGGAGATGAAGGCTCAAGGCGTGGCAGGAATGGTTTGCGCTTTGAACTACCTGGCAAAATCGCAAGGGCATGGCGGATGGGTGGCGCATGTCTTTATGAAGGAGCTCACCCAGGCCCAGAAGTTGACTGGGATCATCTGAGACGAGCCTTGGACTATGTCGAAGAGCGAAATCTGAGGTGTGGGCGCTATGAGGAGACGGCGCGACATTTAGCAGCGGTGCGCTTTGCTTACCAGGGAGAGCCTGTGGTGGCGATGGAAGATATCCGAGCAGAAAAGGTGATCGCGGCTTGGCCGAAGGTGGGTCAAGCAGCCGTCCAGGATGCGTTGACCTTCGCGCCAGAGGAATTGAGGGCAAAGTTGCTGGATCCAGTGTCTTGCCTTAAGCCTGTGCATGCGTGGCCCCAAGAGCCTCACAAATCACGAGTGAGGGCCACAGACGATGAGTGGAACAAAGATGTTGGGGCCGCGTATGAGCGTGGCTTGATGGTGGCTGATGAGTTGGATGAGGGGTTCAAAGATGAGAAAGGCCGACCACTCCTCAACGGAGCGGGAGCTGTGAAGAAGGAAAAGAAGGTATATAGATGGAAAGGTGGTGAGCACGCAGCGCTTTATTAGCAATCTGATCCCGAGCAACATGTTTCAAGACCGCCTAGAAGGCGACGACAAACTGCTTCCCTACCTGGGACAGCTCACCCTCCTGCAACAGGAGGAGGAAGAAGTTTGGTTGGGGGATTCAGAGGATTTCACGAGCTGCTTCAACCTCTTCCGCCTACCCCCTGACTGGCACAAGTTCATGGCATTTGAGAAGCCTGCGGACGCAGCGCTGCTGGGGGGGGGGTGGCAGGAAAGATGGTGTACCCCGCAATGGCTGTTTTACCCATGGGCTGGGTCAGCAGTGTGGCAGTGGTTCAGAGCATTGTGAGGTCCTTGGTCTTCAAAGAGGCCGAGATTTGTCAAGGGTCGGAGGTTGCCAAGACCCAGCTTCTGCCTGCTGACGAAGACCTGACGGTGACCTACCTGGATTCGTACGACCAGTTGAGAAGGTTCAAGAAGGGCTGTGAGGAAGTCGTGAAGGCAGAGATGTCCGAGAGGCACAAGCGCTTTCTTAAGGTTTGTGAGAAGCTGGCCCTGCCGCTGAACGACGGCAAAAGGTTAGTGGCTTCGACGTTGGGAGCCCTTCAAGGTGGAGTGCTTGACGGTGAAGAAGGCCGCTTTGGCCTTTCAGTTCAGAAGATGGTTGAAGTGATCACCTCAGGAAGCACCTTGTTGGCCAAGGAGAAGTGGTCCGAAGGCGAGTTGAGGCACGTTGTTGGCAAGGCGACCTTCGGATGTTGCTTCAGGCGGCCGCTTTTCGCTATCCTGGAAAGCGTGTTCAAGGAGATCAATGTGAGCGCCAGCCAGAACGACCGTGAGGTGCCCCGGCCAGGCGCCTGGGACGAGGTGGCCATCATGGTGCTGCTCACCCCTTCCATGTACTCGTACTTGAAGGCAAGAATCGACCCAGAAGTGTCGGTCACAGATGCCTCGCCATCTGGTGGAGGAGCGGCGACAGCCGTAGAGTTTCAGTCAGCTCCATGCACCATTGACGTTGCAGGGCCGATGGCCGAAAGCCTGGCTTTGAAGGAGAGCTTTATGGTGAAGGGCCAGGAAAAGGAGCACTTGGCTACGTTGCTGCGGCAGGCTACTTACCGAGGTTCAGATGTGAGATCGTTCCTCGAGGTGGATGGAGAGATGCATGAGCAACCTTTTTTGGCTATGAGATGGCAGTGGCGGACGGCGATGTCCTATGCATGGCGCCAAGAAGCTCATTTCAATGAATTAGAACTCTTGGCAGTGGCTGTCTTCCTGAAGAGACATGCCCGGACACGATCCAAGCAGCATCTACGCTTCTTCCACGTGCTGGATTCTATGGTTTCACGCGGCGTTCTGGCAAAGGGAAGGAGCAGTTCGCGGAGGCTGAACAGTGTGGCTCGAAGGTGCAGTGCCTACATGTTAGCAATGGACAACTATATGTTCCCGCTCTGGACCATCATTGGATGGTACTTTGTGGACAAGGCTAGCAGAGCTCATGAAGCGTAGCAAAAGGAGCTTGCAGTTTGCAGGCCTGCGCCCAAGAACACTTCGAGCCTACCGCACAGCTTTGGATCGTTTTCTCAAGTATGTCTCTCGCAAGCGTTTGAGCATCTCCAAGCCCCATCGGCTGGATCGACAGGTTGCTGAATTCATTGATACTTCTTACCAAGAGGGGGCGCCAATGAGCTATTCCGCTCACCTCTGAAGCGTTTTCACCCAGCACTTCGTCTGGAGTTACCCATTGCAAGCCAATACTTCCGGAACTGGCAGCGCTGTTATGTTCCCACTCGTGCCGTGCCAGCACATTGGGAATTGGTGGAGGCCATGATGGGCTTGGCTCATTCGCGAGGTCTGCGCACTTTTGCGCTCCTGGTAGCCCTGGGCTTTAATGCCCGGCTGAGGACAAGTGAGATGCTATCACTGTCTCGCCAGCACTTGGTTCCCTCACCGTCGTGGCCAGGGCATGAGCGTTATCATTCCAGAAAGTAAGACCTCGCAAGGAAATCCTCAAGTCCTTTTGGTTGTGGACCCCACAAAAGCCTTTTGTGGCCTGAAGGCCCGCATCGATTCCGGCAGCTGTTCGCTTCTTTCCCACGCCAGTGGGGCTTCGCTGAGGATGACTACACCCCCTACAGCTTGCGCAGGGGTGGAGCTACATGGTTCTTTCAGACGTCCCGTAGTTTGGATGCAACCATAGCTCGTGGTCGCTGGTCGTGTGGCAAGACAGCAAAGCAATACATCGATGAAGGTACCTACCAATTGGCACAAGTCAACTTCACCCCCCAAGATTCAGTCATGGCGAATGAGTTTCTTGCGGCTGCGCCAGGTGAGCAGGAAGCGGAAAGGGTGAGTCCTCTTCGTTTCGAAAATCTTCCTGCAAGAAGTTGGAGTGGTGAGGCCTACAAGAGGCAGAAAAGACAGACCATGCAAGATGGATCTGTTCGAGACAGACCATGCAAGATGGATCTGTTCGAAAGCCCTCTTGAGGGCAGCAGCTGCAAAGGCAGACCATGCAAGATGGTTCTGCTTGAAAGTCCTCTTGAGGACAGCAGCTGTGTTTGAAAGTCCTCTTGAGGACAGTAGCTGTGTTTGTTTCACGGGGCTACAGCGGCGAGCTGGCCTCACTTGAAGCAACTGAGGGGTGCTCCTGAAAAAGAGTGCCCAGCTGCTTGAGAAGAGAAGAGGGGGACATATATATATATATATATATATATATATTTTTTTTTAAAAAAAAATTGCGCGCAGGGCGGGGTTCTTTTTTCGTACCTCCAGGTGCGGCGCCGAAAAGGAGAAAAGGAGAGATTAGGTGATCCATCTGACTCGAGGTGGCAGACCATCGAATAGAGGATTCGATACGAACCGTTGGGAAAAGACGTCTTCTCTTGGACCAAACATGAGGGGCCCTCCAAAAAACGAAACCTGATATCAATGTGGCCCGGCCAGAAGCAGAACCCCCCAGATCTGAGCCGTGGGGCACAACCAACTTACTAGCCCATAAGAACTTGGGCCCGAACCCATGGACAGGGTTTGGTTCAGGTCTGCCCCCCCGAAGAGGTCGGGCATGGCACCCCCTGCCATGGAGAAAAGTCTGGCCATTGGACCCGGTCCCGTACAAATGAAGAGGGGGCCCAACATCTGGGATAAATCTGCTTGAACATATAACGGTTCCTCTATAATCCTCTATATGATGTCTTGATAGAATCAATTCTTCAGAGTGGAGGTCCAGGCTTCACAGGTCCGTCCGAGGTCCGTCCGAGGTCCGAGGCTGAGGTCGCTCTTGGTAGATCGGTCGCTCCGCCTTTCCCGCCGCCTCGGTCGGACGGAGGAGCCAGCACTTGAAGTCTCAGGGCATCGTGGCGTGCCGGGCATCCCAGCGGCGAGGGAGGCGACCTTGCGCTCCGCCGCGGCCGAAATCTGTGTGATTCAGTCCCGAGGGGTTTGGGGCCCTTGGACTTGAGATCCAGGTTTGAAAGAGCAGGAAAGGACAAGAACATGCAGCACATGAGTTGACTAGAAAATAGGAGACAACAGGTCGCCACGGGTTTGTAGATGTGGAGAAAGAGATAGGTCTGAGTCCCAAACTTGTCTTCTGAGTTGTTCGAGAGGGGTGGTTCATCAGTTTGTTGGGAAGGGGTGGTCACAATGGACCCCGTCGCAGACCTTACAAGAAGCTCCCCGTTTCAAAGGCAACCGCCCAACGACACACGTGTCGTTGGACCATGTCCGTTTTCAAAGCCCAACTGGTCGCTGGAATTCTGGGTGGAACTCTCTGGCAGGCCGCCATATTATTGTTTACCTCCACCAAATCATTCAGTGCGCAGAAGGCGTTTCTGGGCTCCAGACCATGTCCTCGAGTCTCTTCGACCGTCAAAGAAGCCTCATCCATGTCCTCCCAGCTCATCAGCCAACTCCGTCGCTATGCGGCCGATCGTGTGCGGCCCTGCCATGCGGAGATTGTCGCCAATCTGGCCCGGCACACGAGTGACTTCGCGACTGGCTGCTGGGCATACAAGTGCAAATCGAAGCGAACAGGGGCTGCAGGGGTCGTAGATGGCCATGCTTCAATGATCTGTGGTAGAAAGATATGGACCCTATTCATCAGATGTACACAAACACGCACTCGAGATATTATGCGTTCGGTCTGAATGCCACTTGCCCGGCCAGCTGACTGAGTAATTCCAAAGGCCTAAAAATGAACAGGGATGAAGTGGAGCGGCTTCTAACCATCAACAGAATAGCAAAGTACATGCAAGTTCCGTACAGTTCCCCGAAGAAGCGAAGCTAAAACATGTCTCCAAAGTCTTCACCGATTGAAGCAGGTCGGCCCAGGTCAGCCGACTCAAACAGGAAGCAACGGCCAGAGTTCGTTGCTTTTGTTTGGTCAGCAGGTCAAGAAGCTGGGCAACTCACTGTTTGGTATGGCCAATTAGACAGTAGACATAGATGAACATACCAGGAGTCACAAAGGGGTGGTTTTTAGTCCCTAAGTGAGTGGATGTTCTGGGCACCCCTATCCTCCAAGTTCGGCACCCCGGCTGGTAGCTGCAACTTGATGCGAACTTCACGTTCTTTTTCTTTTTCCGAGGTCCCTTAGTCCTGGACATTGCCCTTCCGGGCGCCGCCTATTTCTCCGTGGCGGCGGGTGGGTTGGCGGATGTGCTGCACTATGTGGGAGAGAGCTATGTTCAAGTGGATCGCCTCATTGGTGCCAGTGGAGGTGAGGTTTTTTCATGGGTTTTCATCAATTTTTGGATGCATTTTCGATGATTTTGATGTTTAGATAGTCTAGCCTTAAGACGCAGAAATCAACACACTTGGCAGAACAGCTGCAACCGTGAGGTTTTCTAGTGGGCGCATTTTTTGTTTATGGAAGCGATGAAGAAAGGAAGCTCAAATCCACAACCCACACAGGCCCTCTGAGTGACGGTCTAGAGGCCGGTTCCTTCTGACCTGGGTGCATGCTTTCTAGCCACAAGCCTGCATTTCAGGGCTTGTGGCCTCTGAGGTGCTTGCAGCCTCTTCTTAATCCTGGCCAATGACAAATCCGATGGCTCCGCCAGCACTGCTGGCTTGTGCCCCGGTGCGGACGAGCTCTTGCGGAGCTATTTGGAGTATGCCGAATCTGAAGGCACTGGGAGTTGGCAGCGCTGCTGGAATGCGGGGCGACAGATGTTTTCTGGAGTCTCCAATTTCTGGGAGCGAAAATACCTGGAGCTTTTGCAAGATGAGAGGGCCTGGACTGCCATCCAGCATCGAGCCTTTTGTGCTGTTGCAGCGCGGCCAATTCGACAACATCTTTTTGGCAGCACTGAGAGTGGGGAGACATTTCAGTCCAGGTCTGATAACTACATCATGCATTCCTTTGCGAAGCAAGAAGAAGCTGTTCAGTCCTTCGTAGCGACAGGAGAGGCCACTTTCAAGGGCTTTGTCACTGGCGCCTGATTTGCATCTTTTCTTCTTGGCTTCATGTTCCTCCCCTTTTCTTATTGGCCGAATGTGTCGTCTTAGACAGGAATGGGCTGACTTGGGAGTCCCAAGCAAGACTCTATACACTCCCGAAAACTAACATGGAAGTGGAGTTCACCACCTGTTTGTAGTGGATTTCATGGTCTTCCTTACGGGGCCATTCTCCACTTCCATGTTACTGTAGTTCCAGGGAGGGTCAATCGAGCAAGACTTGCGGTCACCGGGCCCCCCCTTTCTTCTCTTCGCCCGTGCGAGTCACCGTGCCGCGGGGAGGTGAGTGGAATCCCCATCACGTCGGACGAGGCGATTTGGGAGTACATCCCCAACGAGGACGATGTCGCCCAGTCTCCCCGGATCCAAAGCAGATCCCATGTCCGCTTGCCATCCAGCTTTTGCAATCTGATCAAGAGCAATTGGCTATGGCTCCAAAATTGGGTACCCTCCAATCCCACTGAAAATTCCCCCAACATCATCTAAAACCTGGTGTTTTCTTTATTTTGGGGTTGCATTCTTTGAGCCACAGCCACATGAGCAGCTTTTTCTATTGGATGTCTAGTCTGGAAGGCTATGCACGGATGGTCCTAGTTTCAGAGTCTGGACTAGGTACAAGATTTGGGCACGTCTCAGGAACACCCCACCCAACGATCCCAAAATACATAAAACATACACTCACTTTCAAGTTAGAGGACACCTGCAGGTCAGGGTGAGCTTGGCACCTTCATGGTTTCTATTTCACAAGAGCATTTTCATTCCACCGGATTCCAGGTGATGGTGGGCATCCGGTGGCCTTTGACTTGTTTACATGTCCAGAGAATGCTGCGGAACGCCATCGGAATGCCCTTTTGTATTATTCCACCTGGTTTGACAACGCATCGGACGCTGCTCTGTGCACTCCTGAAAGCATTGAAAAGCTCTACAAAGGTGGAGTCGATCGCACCATTGATTGCTTGCTCAACCCATCTTTAATGGCACCTGACCATGGCAATCGCGGGAAGGATTGGGGATACCGCTCAGACCCGAACACAAAGATACCGTAGGGTTCGTTTCCTCAGAGAAGTCTTGCAACTGTACTCTGGGTAGAGCGAGTACCATTTCCACGATCAGCAGCCTCAACCCGAAGCTGCAGACTCCTTGACTCCTTGGATTTTTCTTCGATCTGTGACTCGGACCGCCAGGACAAGATGATCATTATTCCTTCAGATGCCAACCTTCAGCAGCAGCTGGAAAAAATCGGCCGGCCTGCTGATCTCAGTGGAGGTACGTTTGTGAACCTCACGAGACATGAGCTGCGGGAGCAAACACGGCAGCCACAGCGATGAGGCATGTTTCACTCACGAAATGTGCTGAGGCGAAGGCTCACATGAAAAGGGACTGGATGCACAACAAGGACTCTGGATTCTGGTGATTTGCACAAACTCATTGGACACTCACCGCGACAAGCAGACCAGACACAGCAAAATCAAGAACCCGCCCAAATGACTTGGGACATGATTGATTGATATTCATTAGTATATATATATATTTGTATTTATATTTATATTTATATATTTATACACGCACACTCACCCTTTTTTTTCATCCTTTTCTTAAAGGCTACCGCCTGCAGCCTCCGACCCCCGAACCGCATGAAGCGAAGACGGATGGAGAGGGGAGCGTGTGAAGGGCGCGTAGCGGGCGCGTAGTCGCGGGTTGGGTGGCGGTGGGCTGGAGTATAGAAGAGGAGTGCAGTTGAATGCCCATGGTGTGTTTTTATGCCTAACCGAGAGAAACTGGCCTGCAGTGAGCATAGATGATGCAATGAAGGGGGGGTGCATAGTGCGAGTAGGGCGCTGCCCATGTTGAAGTAGCAGAGGGTGTGTCGCGCTGTTGGGTTAAAGTGTTCTTTGCCCATAATTGTGTGCAGGAGTTCATATTGTGAGAAGGCATTGCGGTTATCCAGCCGTGTGTGGCTCGAATGTGAAAGTTGGGGCGCAGAGCAAAAAGGAGCATGGAGCAACAAATTCTCCAAGGACACTTATGAAAGAAGCAGGCTTTTCCTTGGCAGCGCAGGGCTCTGTCCATGGGCCTACATGGCTGGCAGCCCACACTGCCCAGACAACCAGCGAAGATTGAAGCAACAGGTCACAAGTCACTTGAAAGATGTGACCGCTGCCAGGAAGCCTGGGAGAAACTCTTCTCATCGCTGGGAATGGAGATCAAGTAAATGAAGGGACATGGAGTGAATTAAGACAACGACGAGATTCTGGACGTGTAGCTTTTGAGAAACACACAACACAATTCATAATGCGCTGCCCATTCATACAAAAGCAACCCCTGGCAAGCAGCAGCTGGGAACGGAGATCGAGTAAAAGAATGGAGATGGAGTGACTAACGGAATTTGTGTTTTACACAAAACGTCCCTCCAAAACAAGAGCATGCATGCCAAGGGTCCCCAACAAGAGCAGACTCGTTCGATGCATGCCCCTTACTCATGTTTTATCCTTTTGACACAAAGCTTCCGGTCGCATACATTTTAGATCGCTGCCTATGTAGAAGGCTGTATAGTCCGTGTGATGCTGATTTAACAAAGGGACAAGCGCAGCTCACGTGGCAGCTCTCTAGTGCATATCAGGTCAGCGTTGAGAGAGGGACTAACAGTATTCTGAAGATGCCCCATGGTTTACACACCTTGAAAAGGGTTCCCTTGGTAAAAAGAAAGCAGAGAACCCTTTATCAAAAGCACGGCCTTGGCAGAACCCTAGGAAAACATCAGAACATCTTACGTAAGCGCGAGGATACTACAGGCAACTGAAGATGCCGTACCCCAAACAATGAAATAAAATGGGATTCCGCGATTCCTGTTGGGAAGAGTCGTGCTTCCCAGAACGCAGGCGAAGTAACCACCATGTTTAGAAACGATCACAGACATGCTTGTGTAACAGAGTTCCGGGGATCCGTTTTTGATGCTATTGGGATCCCTGGCTGCGCCCGGAGACTCCCAAGCACCAGAAGGCAGTTAGAAGGCTGCAAGGGGCTGGAGTCTCGGTGTGAGGAGAAGGCTGACGAGGGAATGCGATCGGTCGGAGAATGTGATCGAAGCGTTGAGAGCCGCCGAACGCCGAACGCTTGACTCATGCATGCGTTGGACAAGTGTCTCCGAAGGAGCGTTCGACTGGTGTCCAGCCGTTTTTTCTCAATCAAAGGCACGTGCACATCCATATCCAGCGTTCCATTGGGGTTTGCATTCATATCACTTGACAAGCCTGTATGAAAACCATGTGTGGGCATGAGGGTTCCAATGGTGTTTTGCACATCCGGCGTGACTTGGGCTTGACTTCTTTAAAGTAGCGTTTCCATTGAGGAAACGCATCCAAAAATAGGTCAGGCGTGGCTAAGGCATGGCGTTGTCGTTTCCCTAAGAAAACACGAGACAAACTAGACACAGCATGAATTAGCAGAAAATATGCAAAACATTAGAGAACAATAGGAATGACTAGATGAAGGGGGTTGGGAGAGAGGGGGTTGAGAAATGTCCGCCACATAAGCCAGCCTCCGGAAGGGTAAGGATGAAACCATCGACCACACCGACCCCACTCATCCTAAAACACATGTTCATACGATTCCGCGTGACTGAGTGGGGTCAGCGGATATACGATATATGTATTTCATCAATTCGCCTTGTTCTTCTATTTGGTCAACCTTATGGGTCACGCATGTTGGCCCACCCATCCGGACACCGGAACCGCCGAGGCGCACAGTGTGGCGCCAAGTTCGCCAGCAACGAGGCTTTGAAGTCTGTGTCTTACCCCATCCAGGCGGCCACCCTTGCGACACCTTGCGACACCGGGGGCCATGCGAGGTGGCCACTGCGTTTTTTGAGTGCGTGGTCTTTTTTGGAATCTGCGAGTGCTCAGTGGGCAGCAGAGAAAGCGGAGGTGGTTGGTTCCCTTGTCAAGGGTTCTTTTGGCCGGACATCGCATCACATGATGATTGCCATGACTATGAAGTACTCTAAGGACTAGTGCCAGCGTGGTATCAATGCAAAAATGTTTCTCCGACCAAATAGATGTGGGTATTGTGAGAATGATGTTTCGCCTTTATCCAGCCTAACAAGGAAATCCTAAGCATATATTTTTCTGCAAGTTGATCGTCAAATTGTCAGCTGCTTTAATTACTCGATTCTCCAATCTAGTCGGAGGTGTGTGTTTGCCGGACAAAGACGGGATCTGATCACCTTTGGAGTGCCAGCCAAGACTTTTTCCCCTGGTGCAGCATCGGGATGTCCTCATCCCGAATGATGGAGAACCCTTGTTACTCCTGCTCAGCTTGAACATACCTGCGTAGCAAAGTGGATCATGCAGCTATTCAATTCAACACACATCCTGCTTCTCATGCTTTGGAATCGGAGACCCTGCTGTACTTTTCAGGTACCATTCAGTGGAACTGCGGACAGGAATTAGATCGCTTCTGTCTGGTGGTAGACCTGCCTGAAGATGATCCTGGCTCCCCCGCTCTTTGAAGTTCCTCGCTCCAGGTGGGGGTGCCACCCCCACCTGGAGGTCCAAACCTTCTTCGGCGGAGTCGGAGTCAGGTCAGATCGTCGGTGTCCGAGGCCTTGGCGAAGAGTTCCAAGACCTTGCCTGCGATGCTGGGTTGCCTGTGGAGTGGCCGGGACCCCCACACGGACGAGTCCGGAGGGACGAGCAACACCATGGGATCGGCATTTGGACGTGGAAAAAAAGAGTTGAAGTGATGTTGTGCCATGTTTTCAACCAGGTTTTTCTAGATTGAATTGGTGTCTTTGGACCACAAAAAAACACAGAGAAGCCTCGGAGAATCAGTATGTCCTTGCTCCATGGGGGACGCATCAATGCCTTGCGGAGGCAAGCACATCACTAGCTTGCAGTGGATCGCAGCCTTTGGCATTACGTGCGGAGCCCCGTCCATGCATTTTTCTCCTGGGCTTCTGAGAAACGAAGTATATTAGTGACGGACCTGGGGACCGATAAAACAACCGACGTATTTCTTGAAAAGATGAACTTCTGAATGGCATCCAAAGATTTTCAGTATCTGAAGTGTTTGTATCTATTCATGTCTGTTCATTCTTTCAAGAATGCTACCCACACAGACGTCAAACAGAACAAACACCATGGTCACGCTGAGTTCCGCCATGTGCCATGTGGGCACCGACCTGTTCCTCTGGTCGGTCCACCGGTGAGGAGGTCACTGAGCTCACCAAGGTCAGGAACTGCGGGTTTTTCCATGGGCGGCAAGAAGGGCACCGATATCGAGGCGGGGCAGCTGATATCGTTGGTCCATTTTTGTGGCCGAACGGCCCAGGCTTCAAGTAGCTGGTTGCAGACAGGGAGTGGTGTGGGGGTGCTAGCCGAATTGGCGTGCTTTGATTTGGAGGCGAAGCCACTGGGAGTGCTGCTGTTAGTGGTCTCACTGGTGTGTGGCGTTCTCAGATGTTCGATGGCCGTTCGAGGACGCCATGTCATGCCATTCTCTTTTCGACTGCCGGCCCTTCGTCACGACTGGTTCCAGCAATGCTCGCAACGCGGTTGAACGCATGAGAGACGAAGAAGATCATCAGATTTTGTGTGGATTGGGGAAGCAGATTTTTGGAGGACCCGTTAAAGCGGCGCTGGAGGCCGCTCAAGCTGATTTGAACGTGTGACAGATTTCCGGGGACTCTTTTTTCACTACCGAGGCGATGGCACCGTTTCGGCCGCGCAACAAGGGATGCGCAATCAGACCGAGCGTCTTTCTCCGTGCCCCCATCGTTTTGGTCGCACTCGGTGAGAGGCGTCGTTTTTGGGTCGGGCCCCAGAAATGGGTGTGTCAAGACCAATGGGACCTACACTACCATACTACATACTTTTGTTATTGAAACCTGCCAAACATAGGTCAGATTCTGCAGCGGCTACTTGTGGGTCCCTAATGGTCCTTATTAACCTACGGAGAGCCAGGAGGGAGAGGGCTTAGAGGCTTCGGATCCGCCAGCTCTGCCAGGGCAGTGGCCAAAGGAGTGCATGTGCTTCATTTGACCACTTGATTTTGGCTCACCCGAAGAGCATCGATTTGGAGAGCATCTTTGGGGTCCGTAGTTCAGTGAATGAATGGGCAATCTTCTTGTGCAGGTACGAGCAAATGTTCCTGACCAATCTTGGTGCTGGCACGATCCTGGTTGGAGCCCCTTGGTGAACATATGCCTCAAAGTACAAGATGTAGGGACCGTAGGGACCCACAGGGCTTGGGCTATTTCTATTGAATTGTATTCATTTACCCTTGGCAGTATGTCAAGGCTCAAGACAAACTATTCGAGTCGGTAGTAGCTAGCTGAACATCCCCTAAAAAGCCTATCCTCTTCGAGTTTTGGACATTCCTCTGGGGCCCTGGTTTGGAACCCAAAGCCAAATCACGCGTGGAACCCGATGCCGAAACCTCGCAGGGGAGAGGGGCTCATTTGACCCTTTGGATGGCCCAGCCGTGTGCCTCCTCCTCCTCCTCGTCTTCTTTTTTAGTTTTGTCCTGTTTTGTCAAGTTGTAGATGATGGCTGTCCAACCGCTTGTGCTGTTTTCAGCATCTTTTGCGGGGCCCCTCTTTCTAGAGCGCATGTTGATTGACACTAACATTCATTTAACTTCCATAAAATATCCACACTGCCTTGGAAATGACCATGGAGGTTGAAACCTCCGTCCCAGAACCGAATCTCTGTCCATTCTGACTTTCTGCGACAGGTGGCAGCTCTCACTGGGCAACTGCAAGCAGGCAGGTTCCGTTCTGTTCAGGCGACATCTCAAAGGACCTTTTTCGATGCGTAGCGCCACGCATGAGCAGACATCAAGACCCATGGCGTTGGGTCTGGAGACTCGTTTGCCGTTGGTCTGAAGACTCGGGGCACCAACGCCCTGCGCTCGGAACACCCAGCTGCGATCCCTGCTGTGGTGCCGAATCGGATTCTGGGAAAGGATTCCGCTGGGGACCGAAGGTTTTTTTTGTAGTCATCGTGAGCAGAGACCTTGACCGGTCGGCGAACTGCGTCGTAGAACGAGGCGGTCTCTTTCTGATGGAGAACACCACCATTTTGGATGAGGCACACTCGTTTTGGATGAGGTCTGCTGGAGTTTAGTGACTTGTAACATGATCGATCCACCTTTGTGGATTTCAGATTTGCACAGATACCCGACTGAGACGGGAAGTGGATGTGTAACGTGATTATGTCCACTTTGACTGTCCTTGCTTCCTGGCAGATTGCGATCTTCGCCCTCTGCTCAGCATTTGGGCAGGCTGTGGGCCGTGGGCAGATCGCAGCTGGTCGCATCCAGAAGGGTTTTTTCCCCAGATAGCTGGAAGCTATAGGGGTTCTTACTTCTCAATGGATGGGTTCCGGATTGCGGAAATTGGCTGCCGCTGCCGCCTTGTTTCCCAAGCTTGTCTCCCGTCATGACTTCGCTTTTGGCCGCCGCTGCCGGCTTGTCTCCCAAGCTAGTCTCCCTTCCTGATTTCGCTCTTGGCTGTCGCTGCCGCCTTGTCTCCCAAGCTTGTCTCCCTTCATGATTTCGCTCTTGGCTGCCGCTGCCGTCTTGTTTCTCAAGCTTGTCTCCCTTCATGACTTCGCTCTTGGCTGTCGCTGCCGCCTTGTCTCCCAAGCTTGTCTCCCTTCATGATTTCGCTCTTGGCTGCCGCTGCCGCCGTGTTTCCCAAGCTTGTCTCTGTTCCTGATTTCGCTCTTGGCTGCCGCTGCCGCCTTGTCATTTTCTTGCCTGCCTTTGACGCGGATGCTGTTATAAGATGATTTAGATCTTGTTTACCTTTTCCATCCTTTTCCCGGCTTTGAGTGGGATGTCTCCCAAGCTTGTCTCCCGCTCTTGCCATGGTGTCCAACTTTTCTTGAAGTGCTATCTGGGGTCTATGCCGGCATAATTTTTGACTTGGCTATCCTGTATACAAGAAAGATTCCTTCCTTCAAGACTTAGAAAGGACAAGCCTTTGCAAGGCGATTGACCCATATTGACACCATCTTGCACGAAGATTTTTCCTTGAAGGTCTTCATTTTCCTGACGATCTCGTGGTTTGGCCCTGACACGAATGCCAAGATCACTACGGTCCGTTACGGCCTAAGCTAGGAAGCATCTGCTGGGATTGGGAAGAACCTACAAACAGAGGCCAACGGAGAGGTTGACAAACACCTAAACTGTGGTATATGTAACACAGTTTCTTTGTTCAATCTTTTTGCTTTCTTTCCCGAGCACATTAGGAACCACATCCGGGCTCAACATCTCCTGTAGGTGACCCCAACAGCGTAAAAGCGCTCGACCAAGGAAAAATGGCCACGGTGCTGATTTCGATCGTGTGGTTCGGCCACGCACTTGGAGACCCGAGCGACCGAGCCTTCAGCCGATCACTTCAGCCGATAGCTGGAGATGAGAACCTTTGATTTTTTGGGAGAAGAAGACTCCAAATATTTCCCCTGGCATATTTTAAAATCAAAGCCTGGAGTCACTCTCTGGTTAAAACAGCCCGATAGTTTGGTCTGATCTCAGAGAAGGAGCTCAGCTGCGATTTCACAGGCGAGGGACAGTTTTTCCACGGTGGGACCAGAAGTATCACTGGGAAAACACCAGCTAGACAGAGGTGGGTCACCCAAACGCCTCTCAGAAGTTCACATTCCAACACAATCCTCGTGACGCCCAGATAGATCGAAAGTCAACCCCTCTAGTGATATCTTGGAAGTGGTTGAACTATCTATTCGAGGACACCTCTCTCTCTCGCTATATATATATATATGATATGTAAAAATATAGTACCCCCTGGGGGCCCCTGGTACCTGGTACTACCTATACTTTGGGAACTGGAAGTGCTTTGCTCAACTACCTGGGGGGAAGGCACCACAGATGTTTTCAATGTATCTATTATGTGTGTATATAATTGAACATCTTTTTATGTATATATATATACATACGAAAGAGACTCCTGAATCCCAGCGTTCAACTGCCCTTGCGGCCACTTCGCCCAGGGCACAGCATCGACATGATCCAGTGGCTCATGGTGGGTTTGGTCGGGTCCCGAACACCTTGGAGACGGGTCTTGCGCCCTTTTTCTTTTTCTTTTCGCCTGCGGAAGAGACACGTTGGACAGCAGAATTCTTGTAGGATGTCAGGATGTCCGACAATGCCACATATTTGCAATCTCTTAACACATGTTTTAACTCAAAAAGGACATTTAAACCAAATATATATATATATATATATAAGTCGGGTGATTACCATCTCAGGTGCAGGAGTTTCACAGGTTTCAGTTAGACCCCTAACAAGTGATTCCTTCTTTGCAAGGGTGCACAAGCAAAGTTTTGATAGACACTAATTGTTAGCACATCATATTTTGCCAAAACCAAATGAGTTGCTGGAAGACCTTTGGTGTTGGGCAAGGGTCCGGATTTGGAAGCGAACAACCAGGAGAGCTTTCTGGGGGTTTGAGGAACATATCCATCCACAGTAGATCCAAGACAACATTAGAGAAAGAATCCAAACACAGGCCTGCAGAATCAAGGCCACAGTTCGATCGAAGACATGTCAATGTGGATATGAAAAGGACTTTTTGGGAAAAGAGGAACCTGGTGACCAAAACCACTTAGGCAAAGCGCGGGGTAAAGGAACCCTGCCGTGCTGGTGAACGGTCTATCCTGGCCCGGTGAAACATGAGGTCTTCGCGTCCGTCTTTGCGGAGATCAGTGAGAAGCTGCCAGGGAAGCCGAGGGGGAGGGTACAGTTACTTGCGCTGAGCCAAGGGGACAATCTTGGATGGAGAAGAAGCTGTTTTCTACCACTTTGGGAGCCACATCGATGTGTTTTCGGTTTTTTCCAGTGTGAAAGTACTTGAATTGTCACTGTTGGGACAAAGAATACGACCCGGTCGTTGGTCGTTGGACCCCTTGCCAAGAAGGTGCTTTGCTAGCCATCAAACGGGGACACCCGGTGCGTCCAAAGCTACCCAAAGGTGCCGCGGTCGATATGGATGATCCTCCACCTTTGAGTTCTGAGACCGAAACCACTGACTGAAGGATGACCATCTCCCACAACCGTTTTTGGATGGAGCAAAAGGGATGAATTTAGTCTATCCAAAAATCCGATTCCACAGAGAATCACCCGGGGCGATGGTGCTCGCAGTGCTCGAGTCGATGAGGTTCAGGACCAAGAAGCCGGAGAAGAAAGAAGCCTGAGAGGTGCCGCTCTTTTGGGGGTCTAGGGCTAGAGGTCTGGAGACTTGCTCAGGGAATCAGTAAGACACAGCATCACATCATATAACCAGAACGTGATCTGCGCGTAAGAAGGTTAAACTCTCGTGTACATCACTTGCCCGCGTTTGAGTTTTTGCCAGTGCCCAAATTCCCTTCTCGGGGATCCGGGATCATTCCATTTGATTTGCTATATTTGCTTTGGCGCCGTTTTGAACATTCGTTTGAGGATCAGCGTTGGGCGGACCGCCTTTGTAATCAGACGGCCATGGTCTTTTGGACCGGCCAGGTCTCCTGATGTCTCCTGTGTTAGCAAGTCTCAGCTTCGGGCCTTGGCCCGACATCATGCAGGTTGCAAAGCAACAGCCTGCCACTGGTTCGCATGCTGCCTCACCACGTCACCGGCCCTTGGGGGAAAGAGCTGGCCAGATGGCCATTGGCAGCTCATTGAGGGATGGGGGCAGCCACCACTTTGCAGCTGCACTTTGTCTCAGCAAAGGTCGTTCATTTTGGCACCTTTTTGCTGACCCCTAATATTCTTCCTAGGCGTCGAAAGATATGAATGACAAGAGGATTCTCAGCTTCTCTGGGGATCCTTCACAGCTGGAGCCGTGGAACCTCGGATCCATCGAAACCGCGAATTCGAAGAAGATCACCGAGCGGATTCGATGGATCGATGGATCCCCTGCCCAGTCCGCATCCGCGAACAGCCAGGTTCCTGGCACTAACACAAGGGATCGCCTTCTGAAGGCGTCTAGAAACCTTTCCTTCGAGTGATTTCTGTAGAACAAACCAAAGCCGGTGAACAAAAGAAAGGATGTGCCAGCAAACATGAGGACCCTCCCAGGTTTTACAGCTACTGTAACTATGGAAAGCGAACCATGTAGCTTCTTTCTTAATCATACCTGTACACGGCGTGAGCACCTCCAAATGCCGTTTCTTCAACTTCAACCTGCTCAACTGGCGTGGTGAGCACCGCTGCCGCTCCGCAGCTCAACGAGCTGCGACGACGAGAAACCCCGTCGAAAAGACGATCAGCGCCGTCGGCGGCCGAAAAAGTGCAGGGGGAAAACGGTGCAGTCGGATGGTTCTAGGGTTTATTTGTTGTTGTGTTGCCTATTGTGCTTCTTGGTTGATGTCCAACGGGCTTTCCTTGCTGTTGATGTTTTTATCCGATGTTGGTTGCAGGGACTTTTGGGTTCTAGCTTTCACTGGGCTTTGCAAAGCCAGGCGGGATTTTAACGTGCGCTTCCATTTGTGGAAATAAGCAGTTCAACTTTGGACATGTGCATTTCAGTCTCTGTAAACATATTTCAGTGTATGGAAATGAGCATTTCCGTTTTGCATTTGTGTATTTTCGTGTGACAATTTCCATGAAGGACACGTGCTCTAGACGCCCTCCTGACCCGACAGAAGGGGACAAAGTATGTAATTGATAGGAGTAAATGGTATGATAACCTCTTCATTCTTGAGGCTTGACATGATTAACATGTATGATGTCCCCACGGATACAAACATCATCGTCGATTGTGCTAAGGAACAACCATGATTTCAGGGTTCAATGCTAAGATTATAAACCAAACTATACTATCAATGGCAATGGATGAATCGAAAGATCCACGCACAAACCTTGTCTACCACAAATTCATGTCATTGAGCACTGGTGGGATGGAATAGGAAAGCGGGACGTATACTAAATACGGTTATTTCGGAATAAAAACGTTGAATTGACATGCTATGGTTGCACGTTGACGGTTGGTTCCTAGGGACTTGCAGTCATTGTGCTCTTTGATCATACTACCGTACGATCGCTCGATCGCCAATTGCCATTTTGGCGAAACAGAGCGATCGCTGCCAGGTGAAAAGCGTTTGCTGCAGTAGCTTTTTCAGGTAGGGCATGGGTGTGCCATGTCGGGAAGCCAATCGGCCAATCTTCCAGCAGCTTTACAGAAGCAGGTGTTCAACGCATCTGCTCGCTGGGATGATGCTTCCTGACTAGCTCATGGTCAAGAGGTGCTGCTGAACAGCAACCATGTGGAGCTCTTCAGCGCCCACACACTCATTCATGGATCCCGTGGTGGCGAATGCCCGGATTCCAAGAGCTGGTCCAGCCACGGCTGTGGCAGATGGCCCAAATTGTGCGCGGCACCAGCCTCAAGGAAGCTCCGGGAACTTGGCTCGAGCAGCCAACTACCTGAGCATCTGTCTCGGCGAATGCTTTGTCCTGATCGTGGACAACCGAGACAGCCGGATCCAGAGCCCATTCTAGAGCTGAATCTTGGACGACGTGCTCACCAATCAAGGCCTTCAAGGCTCTCATATGCGGATCCGCAACCTGCTACTACCTCTCAGCCAACCGGCTTTTCAGCCACTCCGATGACGCCAAGGGCCATTTTTGCGAACCAGAGCGATCGCTGTCAGGTGAAAAGCCAAATTTGCCCTCTCTGGGGCCGACTACTCGCTTCAGCGGGGGCAGGCACGGCCAGGCTCGTGCGTCGGCAGTTCCATGTACAGAGCTTTTTACAATGCCCTCAATCCCCATGTTTCAATGTTTTAGACCTGAATAAGCGACGTTCATGGATGCCGGGTTGTGTTCGGAGTTTTCTTGAAACCCAAAGCCCACACAACAAACCCAACAACCTAAGCAGTCAACCAAGAATATATGCATACAACTACAAGCCAAGTGAGTTTATAACAAAAGTTTCGCCAAGAATCCCGCAGAGAACAACAACAAAAACCAAACAAGGTGGTTGTTTCTTCACCAGATTCCCCTCTTTATTTTGTCGGGAGGTTGGGGGAGCGCGGCTCAAGAGTCCAAGGAGGAAAATTCAATTGAATGGGTGGTGTTGCAACGCAGGGTCAAGCAGCAAGATGTGTTGGAACAAAAACTTCAGATGTTAGTCGTGGACACTTCTGTTTCAAAGATTCGCCCATTGCTGGATTATGTGGTTCAGAGCCGGCTGTGGAGCATGATGGCCAATGGTTGTTAGCCTTTCACAAGAGGGGTCCGCAACAACAAGGGTCCCAAAATACCATATGCAAAATTGAAACAAACACGTTGGAATTGAACTGACTTATGCATAGCTTGGTCCACTATGGGAGGTCCAAACCTTATGAACCCGGCCATGTTTCAGATGTTGTCCAGGTGGACCCCAACAGATGGCCCAAAAATAAGTAGCATATACTGTAATCTGTGATCCTTTCTCTTTTTCTGCGGGTTGCAGTGGTTCACCTTTACAGCTTCACCTGGATCTTCCATCACCGGGCAACTCGCGGATGCATGTGCCCTGGGTGCCACCATGCCCAGGAGCTGTTGAAGGGTGGACGTGAGGTGCCAGCCTTTGAGGTAAAAATAGGCTAAACACTTGGCCTGCAAGATCCAACAACAATCATTGATCCAACAAGAATTGGACTCAAAGAAACACTTTCCAAAGATCACTTCGTCGAAAGTCTGTCCGAATCAGACTCGAAGACCGGTCTCACATGTGTCCCCGCTTCAGCCCGGGTTATTTTCAAGGCAGACTCGCCAGGACTGGTGGTCACCAGGTCCGTATGTATGAGCAATCTAATGTACTATCAGTCAGAATGGTTGATATCCAATTGTTGGGTTTCCAATGCACTAACCGATTGATGAACCATGATCAGAAACCAACCCTCTGAAGAACAGAGAAGTCATTTTGTTTTGATCAGGATTCGCTGCGCACAGGGCGAGGAACCTTACCCAGGGAGCCGGGGCAAGCGGCCGGCCGCTTGGACCAGTGCGGAGAGCACAAGGTGCCGGCGGCGAACATGACAGCCGGTTGTCTTGGTGAACCCTCCCTGGAATTTTCATGGTTACGTGGGTCGCATGGCCCATGATCGATCATGGCCATTTTCCGAATATGGATCTTTGGGTCTTTGACTTTGGAGAATCTCATGGAAGATGGTCCGACACGAGAAAGTCGAGCCTTCAAATGGCTGATGGCTGGCAGGATCCTGTCCTTGGTCAATTTACTGCAAATACCACTAGAAATTGAAATCTTCTGGGTTTTTCTAACAATCATGCTCAGCTTAGAGTAAATCGATCATGGAAGACTTCGCACCATTCACCCATATCCCTTACTCCAGGACTGGAGCAAAATGAGGTCATGTTCGTTCAAATCGATTCATCGCTGCACATCTCGCAGGTCGGACGACTTCTGCGGCACCTGTGGTGGTGTTGGGAGCCCTGAGTTGTCCACCTAAGCCCGGCTTTGGGTTGGCCAAGAAGTTGAATCATGCGCTGGGTGCCAGGGTTCTTGCTTGGCAGTCTTTCTAAGCGTTCTGTTAGAGGTTGTCAGCTGCCAATATGCGCAGGTGCTGTGTTAGAAGTGCGGGCAAGACAAGACATTTACATTCTCGGCCCCTTTCGTTGCTTCAGTCGCTTTACCCCCCACGCTTCGCTTCCCACGAACCGCCAGCCTGGGTGGTGGCGCTGCCGGTCTGCTGGCCGCGATGACGGCAGGCGCGGCGTTTCGGGCAGATCATAGAGCATCAGAAAGCAGCAAATGCTCAGTGAGACCAAATGAGACTGGTGGGACGTGTTATCATGAGGCATCCTCAGGATATGTTTCACACACCCAAGTGGGTGGATGGCGAGGATGTGTTTGGGAGAGTCTTCTGGTTTTTGAGTTGGAGGATGTCTTTTTCGTGTTCCTCCGAGTGGTGATTCTGATATGATAGTATCTGTCCCACTGATCAATTTCCACGGTGTATAGGAAGATGAGGAAACCCCTGTTCAGACAGGGTGGCTTGGCAGCTCTTTGTACTGTAACCTGTAGTGTTTTTTTTTGCATTTGTTTTTTTTTATTGCGTATTGAGTATTGACCCCTATGAATCTGGGAATCATCATTCACTGTTGCTTTGCATGGACATGATCTTCATTTGATTTTATACCAACGTCGGGAAGCGTATACACCACCAGGGTCAAACTGGGTCCAACGTGCACCCCACATGGGTCGCAGCCGCGTGCACGATGAATCGCAGCTAAAGCTCTGGAAGTCACGTAACGACTGAAGCCGGACCTTTCTGAAGAGAGAAGAGAGGCCTGCGATTGGAAAGGCCTACATCCCAAATCATCCAACATACTGTCACGTGATAGGATCAACGGATGCTTAGATGATCTTAGATTGTGTGATCTCGCCATGTGTTGGTTCGAGTGGGGATGCCACTGGTGTTTGAACACCGGGGGGCATCAGAGTGCAGCCATTAGTAGAAGATTAGCTGATGATAGTGGATCGGGGCATACAACGGGCTCAGAACTAATTTCCATTGCCGCCGTCCCCGCACACGACCTGCAACGTAAGTGGGGGGCCTTCCACCATATAGCGAACAAAAACATACAAAAACAGCCCTTCCTCTATGGAGTGCGCTGCTGTGTGTTTATTGCAAGTTTTGTTTTTTCCGCATGGATTATGTAGTCGTCCATATATATTTATTTCAATCCACCTACTACAAGGATTTGTTCCTTCTGAATCAGATCCCTTGGCTTCCGCAAAACCCAGTTTTTGGACCAACCGTTGGACCCGAGCCATGGCCAGTGTCGCCACCGGTGTCGCCTTGCCGAACCTCAAGGGCTCCTCGTTTGGACAGACTCTCAGACAGCGGGGCACCCGATTTTTCCTGGGGAGTGCACCTGGAAGTGGACATCAACCCCCATTGGAAGATGACCATCCTTGTGACACCAGGTTCTTTCTTCCCCACTTCGATTTTTGGGAGGGTGGCAATGGATCCAAACTGCCCTGCGACCACAGGGAGGATATGAGTCTCACTATGACGAACCTGAGGGGATTCGTCACGTTCCCTTGGATCGGCGTCTTGTTCTGAGGGGATTTGTGCTTTTCTCACATGTGCCGGTCCACTAAATGAACCAACACCCATTGATCGAGTTCTTGAAACGGGTGTCATGAACATCAACAAGACCACTCCAAGTTCCACGGTGTTCTCTCTAACCGCCACAGACCTCGGCGGTCTCTCTGCTTAAAGCCATCTTAAATCCACACGGAAAGACCCACCCACACCGGGACCAGTTTCCCTGGAGCACCCGAAGCCGTCGTTCCCAGGAGAACTCGTCTCGGATGCTTGATTGCATGGGGCCTCTTATCGGAAGGCCCTTCGTGGAGCATGTGGAGCGAGGGAGTTCTGAACCGGCGTTCCGGTTCCCACAGAAAGGCGATGTTTGTCACTCTATGCTGTCCTGATTTAACTTGCGTTACTACTCCATCCGCTCCCACTCAGTACCTTTCCGATTGGTACCGTCGCCGGGGGGCTGCAGCAGGCGCAGTCCGAGCGGTCCGATCGCCCGACGCTCGCTGGACGAAGCGATGAAGAAGGGATTGGTGTTTTTCATGGTACAACATTCCGTACACTGCACTACAGGTCGTTTTAAGAACCTCCTGTATTTAGTATTGGTACATTAGTATTGGTACTTTGATCCTTCGAATATTTCTGCCGGTTGCAGACTCTGTAACACCCAACAGGGCGTGGTGTTACAGGGTTCCTCCTGACCCGGGGGGCGACCCTGGGGTGGGACGGTGATCGCCCCAAGGTGTCCATGGACGTGAGCCAAGTTGCCAAAGACGTGCGCAAGCTGAAGAAGGCGCTGCCCCGGTCCGTGGGTCGCCCCGGCGCACGGTGCGACGTGGGAACGCGGCCCCCCAAAGAACGGGGTGTGGAACGGGGAGTTTGATTGGGTGTCCATGGGGTGTGGGGATGGAAGTGAGGATTGGGAATGAACTACAAGGGTTTAAGACTTGACCTTGACTCTTGATGGGATCCGGCCTCTTCACTTTGATTAGACGGGATTCAATAGGATTCAGCTTCGCTCAGTCACCAACTGACCAGGCCGGTCATGGAGGTGAATTCACGGTTTGGTGGATCTTGGTGAGTTGATACTCAAATGTTGGTCATTTCTCCTCGTTTCAATGTCCATAAACCAACCCAACAAACCCAACACCTGGTGTTCTGGGCCCAGTGGCAGGTCGGGTCTTTCAGACCCCTTTTTTTGAAGCCACTGGAGCCATTGTTTGGAACGCCCGGAGTGCGTGCCCGGACTGTGTCCGGTTTCACCGTGGCGGAGGTCCTGCGCGAGATCGAGGCCTTGGAGGAAAGGTCCTCGGCAGGAGCCGATCGATGGGCTTGCAGCCACATGTTTTCTTGTTTTGGACCGGGAGACCCCTCAGTTTGACCTCGGGCAACATCAAAAACAGACTAAATCCAGGTTGGGGGGATCGGAGGTCCCTCTATATATTGAACAAAACTTACACAAACCCAAATGGGGGATCGGAGTGTGGGGGTGCGTCGTGCGGGGCATGGTTTTTTGGGTGACAAGCTGAAGAATTGGATGAGGCGATTTGGAGGGTCGGTTCATGACCACTTTGACCCAAGTGTAGGAGGTTGGTGGGAAGTGGTGTGTTGGGAGCAAGAATGATTTATGGGATGCTTTCAATAATGCTTTCGATCACCCCATGATTTCTGGATCCTGTTTCACGAGTGATGAATCAGAAAGAACATCGATTGTGAGTCGATGCCTCAACACCGACACCCAAACCGAGTGATGAGTGGCACGACAGAGCTCACCTCAACCGACCCAATTGACTAAATTTCGGATTGTGCTGATGACAGGGTGATCAAGACTCATGAATCTACAGGATAGATGTGGCCAGTCGAGTGGAACGAAACAATACTAAGTATTATATATATACACGATGAATATGCTTGAATTCTGTGACAGCTGGACGTTTTCATGGTTGCTTGAATATGGATTCTAAGGATTCATAGAATTCTTGACCACACAGGAAGCTGAGCTTACCGTGACAAGGAAAACTACTTTACGGTAAGTCCCGCATGTAAACCCTGTTTACGTTGACCGGAACCGTGCCTTTCATGTGTTTCGCTCGAACGTCACAGGACAGCAACTCTTAGACTGCCAGCTGCAAAAGCTGCAGCGCAAGGCTGAGGTCTTAGCCACGTGGCAGCAAGTGGCGCCCACTTCCGAGGTCTCGGTCTCAGCATTTTCTTGAAATCCCCATTGAGTCGACCTTTGTGGCACCGTCTTTGTGCATTTACGTAGTGTCCTGTGCATGAGGGCATGAGGGTGAGAGATTAATGTTCGATCCTGATTAGTAAATAGGCCCCCCCCTACCTCAAACAAACAGGGGATCCTCTATAATAAACTACCACCAAAACAAATCTGGATTCCTGTGAGAATTCCTTTTTGTAATTGATTGTAGTATTCATTTTCCTTTCATAGATTGTATTCAGCTTCCTTTCTCAGGTGCTTTGTGATTGTTCTCAGCAATCCTTTTGCTTTGCAGCCTCAGATCTTCAGCTCAAGAGAAAGCTATATCAGGTAATGAGTCATAATCATTGGCCTCAGGAGCTAAGTAAAGGAAGATTCCATGAGCAGTTTTTTTTCCAGTGGAAAAACTTTTCACAATTGAGAACCCAAAAACAAGTCTATTATTGAGGATGAGATGCCTTCCTGGTCTACTATATACCTTGACAATTTGTTTAGGAGCAATGTTTTATAAAGGGTTTAATTAGGAATTGGTGGTTTTGGTCAGCTGTCAGTTTTGAAGAAACCTAGAGAAAGCTATATCAGCTAATGAATCATAATCATTGGCCTCAGGAGCTAAGTAAAGGAAGATTCCACGAGCAGTTTTTTTCCAGTGGAAAAACCTTTTCACAATTGAGAACCCAAAAACAAATCTATTATTGAGGATGAGGTGCCTTCCTGGTCTAGTACCTTGAAAATTTGTTTAGGAGCAATGTTTTATACAGGGTTTAATTAGGAATTGGTGGTTTTGTTCAGCTGTCAGTTTTGAAGAAACCTAGAGAAAGCTATATCAGCTAATGAATCATAATCATTGGCCTCAGGAGCTAAGTAAAGGAAGATTCCACGTGCAGTTTTTTTCTTCCACTGGAAAACTTTTCACAATTGAGAACCCAAAAACAAATCTATTATTGAGGATCAGCTTCCTGGTCTACTACCTTGAAAATTTGTTTAGGAGCAATGTTTTATAAATGGTTTAATTAGGAATTGGTGGTTTTGGTCAGCTGTCAGTTTTGAAGAAACTTGTCAGTTTTGAAGAAACCCTTATTAATTAGGTTTCCAATATAAACAATTTAGGGCTCCAAACAAATTTAGCATTATTCAGGTCCCATTTTTCAATCATGGGGTCTGGAATAATTTTGGAAACATTTAGCATTATTGAGGACCCATTTACTAATCAGCATCCAACATTAATGGTTTGAGGCACTTAAGGCTCCTCCAACTTCGCCATGTTTCAGAGCACTGTTGTCGATGGTTTGTGTAACATAGGCCTGGTGTTCATTGGCAGGTGTTTTCTTTCCTGCTGGAACCTAGGACATTGTGACCCAGCCTCACATGACGGGCTCATAGGCTTGATCCATCAGGTAATGTAGAATTCTTGATTGATCACCTCCCTCCCGGAGTCTCATGAATCAAGAGTGTACGTTAGTATCTCTACGTCCAGACCATCAAGGAGACTGGGCATCATCCTGTGATGCCGACCTCCTTTTTTGCCCTGTTCTGAGGGTCCCTCCCGGTGAGGAGTGAACACGTTTATATAGATTCCTCCATCGTTTGAAAGCACCAAACCTGTTTGACCACACCAAAAACCATTGCCATCTATGGCCTTGTTTTGCTAGTTATCCTGGCTTCACCAGATGCTTCTTTGATGTTCTTTGACTCCCAGAGTTCGTTTTGCTCATTTAAGGGGCTAGCTGGTTGGGCTTCGTTTGGAACGACGGTGGGAGCACGGTCCGTCCGCAGGAACGAACGGTCTGTTCCAGAGTCGGACGAACGGTGGGTATCGGACAGTCGGTAGTAGTCCTTCGAGTCGACCCGTTCGGTGGTTTTGAATGGACCGAATTGGGAGGAGTCGCCGCAGAATTCGGGAACGAAGGTTCCACGTTTCAAGTGATTTACGGCATCAGCACGTGTATGGACCAAGCACCCCAGATCCGTCACTGGAGTCGCGCGATTCTGAGGACAAGCTGGCTGACCTCACTGGGTGGTCCTAAGCGCGAGGCCCCACGGGGGGCGAACGAATCTCAATACATGAAAACTCAAAGGACATTCGTCTTATCTAGAAAACCAGGAGGATCGCTGCCTATTGTTTTAACTCGACTTGTTGGATGGCCGACCGGATGGCCAGAAGGCCAACACTTGAACATTGTTGAGGCATGTTGAGGACGGAGTCGGGCAGAGGGCATGGAGCTTTTAGTGTTCTCAATCATTGGGGCTTAGGGGCTTAGGGATGAGGTCTTCTTGTGAGTTCTCGTCTTAAAGCCTCAGGAGACTTAGAGACTTGTTGCGTTCACTCTTGGCAAATCTCGGAAGAGGAGTCAACGAGCATAAGCTTTTCAACATGTGCACAGTTTTTTGTAACACATCCCCAAATAGATAGAATCGTTTTCCAATCAACTTATTGGAGAGCTTCAACATTCTATCTATTTTGAGGTCACGACTTGACTCACGACAAACCCCTTCTCCTCTCCGCTTCTGGACCTTGCCGAAGGCCGCCTGGTCACGCCTCGCCGAAGTTCATCCCCAGGTGATGTACAGTGTACAGACGAACGAGAGTGTACAGCTCAATGTATGCGGCCACCCAGAAAAATAACAGAAGAGACCTGGGAGATTGGTTCAAATATACATGTGCAGAAACCCATCCGCGATGGCGGGCCATTCTCAAACTCTCAAATGGTGACTTTCGTCCATTAAGCGACCCGTTGCCCATTAAGTGGCCGTTGCCCTGGTCTGAAGAGAGTTGGGTGATCTCGCGGTTTTGGAGGCCGAAGGGGCCGGCCCGTGATTTTGTTGGAGAAGAATGCGGTGCTGGGGAAGAAGATCAGGACGGCCCATGTTTTGGTCGGCTCGACCTGCTGTTTCCGGCTCCATGGTCTGGTCAGTCAGCTTCGTCGACAGTGCGGAGCGATGTCTACGAGCAAGACCGGCATGAAATGCATGTCAATTACGAGAACGTGAGGTAAACGGTAAACCTGCACCATCATCTTGCATGAAATGCGTGTATATGCGTGTTAAGTCCATGTTGAGAACATAAACTCTGTGAACATGGATGTATTGCAAAGGTTCAGCGCACAAGTGCTTTGATGCACCTAACAGTTCACATGTGTAAGCTTCGCCTTACGTACCTTGGTTTGATCTTTCTCTTGATGTCCTTTCCCGCCCTACTGTACACTGTAGTGTAATCACGTCGCCTTGATTATTTTGTCCGTTTGATGGATATTCATTCGGCCAGTTCTAGCCTCAAACTCACCTGTCCACAAACATCTGCTTTCCGTCACTTCTCATCTTCCGGCACCGCGGCCAACGACCGGAGGATCAGTGGTGGGGGACGCTGCAATTTCACCAACATCTCGGAGCGGCGCGCGCGCGGTTCGGCGTGTTTTTGGGGCGTCACAATTGGCGTCGACGTTTCGCGGCTTGGGGAAACGGTTTGGACTGGAGAACGTTCGAAGGAAGGGATCAGGGTCTCCTGATTTGAGTGTTCTCTGCAACTTTCAGCACTGGAAGAAAACCATGTTTTTTGATCAATGGTTCAACTTCTTATACAAAACAGGGAAGGACACAGCCATGGCATGCAATCTTGTTCTTCAGTATTTTCCAGGTTTCGGGTGGTGTCCCTTTGCTTCCTCTGAACATATTTTTTGTTCAACGAAAGGGGGAGTCTTCCTGCTTGTTGAAAACTGCTGTTGTCTGTTGTCGTTTGGTGTCCACTAGCCAGCGCAAGGGTCGCTTCCGGAGTTGTTTTCTCTGCTTTGGTCCTATCAGTTCTGTCTCTATTGGTCTCATCTCCAAGCTGAGCCTGCACCCGATGCTTTGAGAAGGTACCACTGGTCCGATGGGATCGAAGACCGGTTGGGTTCCAAAGAGAGAGAACCGCGACCGGTTGGAGGAACCGTGTGGTGGTTTTTGCATTGGTTGTGGATGCTGTTCTTCCGCCAACAGTTGTGTTGTTTGTGTATCTTCACTCTTGTCAATGGTTTGGCTATGGTGTGCCATAGCCGCACAGGACGAGCCGAGCCGCAGAACCACAGGACCACAGGACCACAGACCAAGCTGTTCGCTGCAAGTGTGACCCTGCCGGCCTTCAGGAGAACCTCCAGAAGGCCTACCACTCTTCACTTCCAGAGGCAGCGAACTGTTTTATGAAAGACATATTGGATACATATGGAAAGCAACATGGAGAACTCATGAACTTGTTGCCTGCTGCATGGAGCTTTGCACATATATAACACTTCGTAATACTGTATATACCTGTATATATAAATCTGAGATATAAAAGACAGAATATAATCGGCAGGTTTTCCACTTCGTCTCTGGTTGTCGTATACGTGGTCGGTAAGTATCTTCTTATGGCTTTCATCGGGTGACACGCTGCACGCTGCTGCCTAGGCCACGAGGACATGTTGGTGTGTCTGGTAGGGGCATATGACGATCTCAACCCGTCCGGATGGTTGAGGGTGAGCTGGTCGAGGAAGTTCAGTCTGATGGCAGCTTCTTTCAAAAGGCCAGCAACTTAGCGTGCAAGGAAATGGTCCAGTCAGAGCAGACATGCCGTCAGGAAATGAAGATCCTATGGCCATGAAGGATTTACACCTTATGGGGCAGATCAGCCGATTCATTGGCTCGACATCCAAACATGTTAATATCGACATCTCAACCACAGGTCTTGACATGGTGTACCCTACTGGACGGAAGTGGATCTGGAACTGAATCTCCGGGGTTGAGATTAACATGCAGCTGGATGAGGAACCGGTTCTGCAGTTGGAATGAAGCTTGTGTAGCAACAGGAACTTCTTCTCTCGTCCCGGAAGAAAACTAGACCAGTGCAGATGCAGACGCGTATCAGGAATTTTGACATATGTGTGGAGCTGGCACTGCCTGTGAAGAAGAGTTGCGATGCGTATGCAGATGTTGTAGATGAGGGAACCGGTGTGCAGAAAAACCGAATGAGCCATTCCTGCCCACGGAGCCTGGAACTAGACTAGACATACGCCTACAGAGAAGCTTGCCGGGTGAGACACATGCAAAGTGGAACTAGAGTTCACCAGCTCTGGAGGGTTCTGGAGCTGGAAGCACCTTTGTGCAGTAGAATCTAACGTCGAAGTTGCACTTCAACCCCCCTCAAACAGTGGAAGCCATTTTGACTCCTGTGGACGAGCCATCCAAGGCCTTCAAACGATATCCACCAGAAAAGTTCATTGCCTTGGTGGAGTCTCATGGCATCAAGTGCGCCGCCAGCTCCTCAGAAATTCCTGGCCTAATTGACAAGATGTCAGGTGGGGAGTGATTGAGTTGAGCGATTGTTTAGGGAGAATGTGGATGCATCCCGGTGCATGAACCATTGCAGGATAATTGCATTTTTTTGCCTTTTTACCACATAGACACAATGGAAGGGAGTTTTTCTTTTTGCTTTGTTGCTGAAACAGCAGTTGATGTGCTAATTTCGATTTTGTGAAACAGTTGCCTTGGGAAGTGTACTTCGTGCCTTCCTTCAATTGGGAATTGCAGAAAAGAAGACCACCGCAGAGGTACCATGAGAAGAAGCTGGGGCAACTGTTCTGCAACAAATCAGCGCGCCAGATTGTGGACATGCTCCAACAGGACTGGTGACTGTGTCTGTGGATAATTTGTATTTTTAGAAAACCAAGCAAACAAGCCATTGATGGAAGAGTTATCTACATGACCTACATGCTCCACTTTGGGATTCCTTGAAATCGCTGATCCACGGATTCAGCTCCATGGAACAGTCGATGGAAGTCCGTCCCGACGGGATGGCGAATGGGTGAAAGTTGAAGAGACTTCGGTTCAGGCAATACACTGACTGACCCTACGATGTATACATGCTTTAGATAGATATTTTTTGTCATTGTACTCTACAGATTCCATCCCAATCCATCCCATAAACAACATATATACACATACACATATACAAGACGTGCTGGCATCGCTACCACTCCCAATCGAAGATCTTTTGCTCGAATCGTTTGCTTTTAAGGAGTGTTTGGCTGCTTCAGTGGACGTCTACACTGAGGCGGAATGCTTGAGCGTCAGCGCCGCTAGCGCCGCTCGGCGCGTGACGGCGCGGCGCTCGGCGCGGCGCTCGGCGCTGTCCGTTCGTGGGGAGGGCCACAGTAGCTTAGTAGCTTCCTGTTACTAGTAGCAAAAGGGACCTTTAAGGAATGGCCTCCACCCTAATAGCGATGGCCTCCACCTAGTAGCTTCTAGCTTCTGGTAGCTTCTTGTTACTAGTAGCGATGGCCTCCAACCTACTTGTGATGGCCTCCACCTAATAGCGTCCGGGTGGTGGTTGAAGAGCCTGGGTGGCCCATCCCATATGGGAATGAAGGACCTTCCGGTAGGTCAACTGGTTGGTATCCTGGTGCCATGACCCACAGTCATATGTCCCCGGTATGGGGGTCCCTAAGCCTAAGGTCTCAAGCTCTCTTCACGCTAGGCAACTCAGCTGTTCCCGTGCCAGTAGCACCTCACTCGGCGCTTGAACGGGGCTGTGTGCTGTGCGCTGAGGCTTCAGGCAGCGAGGCCGGCCGCTTTCGGGTAGTGTATTCGAAGTAGGGCCCCTCAGAGGATGGAAGAAGGCATCTTCGGTTTTTTTCATGCTTGATGTGAATCCTTCACTTTGAGAGATGAGTGTGACAAAGTGTATTCTTTGCGTTGGCCCCTCCTGAGCTGCTTGAGAATGGACTTCGAGGTCGAGGTCGGAGGCTTCGTTGGCAGTCCCCCCTTGGGTCGGTCCTCGGTGGGGTCCGGACCCGGTGGGCGAAGCCCGGACCCGACGTCGGACCCGGTGGGGCGGAAACAAAGCCACCGGACGTCTGAAGAGAAAGGTTTGGGGAACGGTGAACGGCGTATCGGCCAGACGCAAGGTTCCCCGGCCAAACTCAGGCGCCAAACTCTCCTCAACGGTCGCCTGGGTCCCCTAAACCGTCAAGTTCCCACTGCAAGATCCTGAAACCACAGCAAGTGAGACATACAGTTGAGATGGCCGCCCTGAATGCAGCGCCCGTCCATCGGCTGAGGGAGGAGGAGACCAAAGAGCTGCACGCAGAGGTCCATCGTTGAAGTCGCTCGATCGGGGAGGGGAAGTATAGGGAAGGCATTCACTGAAGGACTGCAGATGGGTACAGAGGGAAGGAGCTTTTGAGGTTTTGCTTGACGTTGACCACCTACACCCTAGCAGCTATTGTTATTCATTCATAGTGAGTGTGGGACGGGGTCGGTTCCCCAGCGGGCGATTTCAAGACATGTTACCATTGGCTTGGGGCACTTTCAAACATTCATGAGCTGTGGTCAAGATTATATACCTGAAACATTTCATGGTAATTCATGTGCTTCTGTTTCTTCTGCAAATGCAGAGTATTTACTGAGCCAGCACGAGACCAGGCTCGAATGTATGTTTCTCAATCTTTCCTATTGGGTTTGAGCCACCGACTTGAAGCCGAGCGGCTTGACATTTCCATGTTCCACCTTTGGATATGTTGCATGTTCAATACAGCATATGTCATTATAATTCAGCAGTGTGTATCATGAGTGCTCGTATGAACCCCCACAAACTGCAATATTCTGGACGGCGAAGCGCGCAGGGGCGGTACTTCTGCAAGGTTCTTGAAGTTGAGACCATCACGTGGGCTGTGAACATCTATCCCCCAACCCTATGGTGACCTTGCCAGCACCTGCCTAGGATCGTATACATCCTCCAGTAGAATTCCACCCCAGGTCCCGCCTCTTGACCGGTCCCGCCTCGGTTCAGCTCTCGTTTTCCGCCCTTTCTCCACCAACAGGTGCCGTTGTGTGGACTGGAGTGTCTCTTGCGTCTCGCGTGAGGCGGTGGTGGTCGCGTGCGGCGGCTTGAGTTATGCCAAGACTTGCCTGTTGCCTCAGAGGTCTGTGAGGTGGATGTGCCGAATGTGTTTGGATGGCAATGGAGTGGTTTGGATCTGTCAGGACTGGGAGGACTGGGGATGAGACATCTGATCTTCCTTCCTGGCGGACCCTTTTGGATTGGAACAGGTCCACTTCCATCGCCGACCCTATCCAATTGCTCCGACCCAATCCACCAACGAAACGTTTTGGTGACTGATGGCTTCAGGATGCAGCAAAGATGTGTCAAGATGACTGTGTCCTCTTGTGATACTTCGTGGGTTAGATGTGCGACGGCGCCAACCCTGACAACTGCAAAGGGTTTTGACGTTCGTCAAGACCCTCGAGGGCCAAGATTTGGCGGCAGTTGATGCACCGCTGGCCGGGTGCAGGCGCTTGGGTGTAACATCCTTGGGGCCAACGCATCGCCGGTTGCGGTGTATGACAGCAAGGCCAATGGGCTATTGCGCTTGCTGGGGATGTGGCGGTCGCCCCGTGTGGGGGAGAAGTGTGTCACGGCTCCGGGCAATACGGCCCCGTCCGCTCTAGGTTGTCCATTCAGGACTTTCCTAGAACAACCCTGAAGAGGGGAGGCCACAAAAGTTCGTTGCTGCTGTGTCCTGTCTCTTCGGCTTCTAGATTCATTGCTGCCTGGCGAAGTGTCCGTTGCCGACGAACTTCGATCCGCCAAAATTCGAGAAGGAAGGCATGCTTATCGCCTGTGTGCCTGAACTTGGGATGCCTTGTTTTGATCCATCTGTGAGGTCCGAGGTTGGTTTTGATCTTCCTCTGTGAGGATCTCTGTAGTCCTCGGGTTTTGGAGCTGAGGTTCTCACCTGGGCGTTTTTGTTCCTTCCATGGCCGGACCACGTTCTTTCCACCTCGGGGCCGATCCGAGGTGGAGCGACGGATCTCGCACAGCGCCTTGCACGGTCCTTTGATCTCAAGGTGCCAGGAATCGAGCCGATTCGACCTTCGTCGCGGCTTTGGCGTTTGCCGGGTTTGGCGTGACAGTGATAGGGGGATGACAGAGGGGTTCGCGGAATTTGGGATGTGTTCTTTAATAGACAGATATAGATGACCGACTTGCTCGGAGGGGCGGTGCCTTCCTTCCGGTGGAAGGTTCCGGTTTCAGAACCCGCAGGTGTCCCGGTTCCGCTTCGCAGGTTCCGCTCTTACTGCGGACGGTGTGGGTGAAGGGAGGACAGGTCCATCGAACCGTGGCAGTTCTTCTCATCTGCTCTGCACAGGTGGCGGTCAAACCCAGCCCTGGTCACTCACCAGGGGGCCATGGGTCACCGACCTTCGTCGAGTCTGCTCAGGTCGTGACAAAACCGTCCCGGGGACACCGCTCCGGGTGCCATGGGACCAGCCAGGTGAGTGGAGTCCGACCTGGGCTCGTGCCCTTGCGCCTGGACCCCAACGCCTGGACCAGGCCCGGTGGATCCAACAGGGGGGATGGGCTGGGCGAAACGAGAAGAAACGCCCAGCGACACTGCAAGTGGATGTAAAAGGGTAATAAGGATGTAAAAGGGGAAAAGCAGTGGACAAGCAGGGTCTTCCTGTGGTTCTTTATTTTTTCATCCTTGGGAAGATCTTCATCGGGAATATTTTGAAGAGGGGGTCCTTCCGAGGTCTTCACTTTTTGGGGATTAGTGTACTCCACTAGTGCAGATAACAACACACTCTTTTATCTTTTCATGCCCAAAAAACAGCAGGTTTTGATGAAGTTGAGAGCATCTCCTCTACCCATTCGACCACTCATCAAACAGTGTAACGACCTACTCAAACATGCTGTGCCCCACCTCACAATACACAAAAAGGTCACTGACCTACCAGACACACACGGCGCCACCCAAGTAGAAACATCAGGAGCATCAAACATCAGGAGGCCTCAAATTCACCCAAACATGTCTGGTCACAAACATCTCCAAACATACTCCCCTGCAGAGGACGGAACCCCTGCAACCACTGGGTTGTAGAGGAAACTCTTCTTCTACCGGTGAATTCTCAGGTTTCATGGGATCGTTTGCGGGAGAGTATCCAAACATCACAACCTTTTCAAGACTCATAGGCTTTGCAATCCCCCATAGGCTTCGCAAGGTGGCGACGGAACACGAAAAACCACGTGGTTCACCACGTCCTTCTCCAAGAGTAAAACAGCGTTTCTTTTTTAATCACCGGCGTGGCCTGCGAGGAGCCTCACCGGCGTGTCTCTCCAGGCTCTGGGGCTCCAGCTTGGACTAGTGACAGATGTTCAGATGTTCTTGTAACATACTAACATACTGAAACCAGGTGACAGGCAAGGTTAGTTTGGCAGAGGGATTCCAGTTACTCCTCACATCTTTATTTTTTTTAATCGTGCCCACCTCGTGCCTGGTTTCGAGTAACAGGCGCTCCTCGCTGCGAGGTTGAAGCTTGGGACATTTGACTACTGAGAATTATTCTGTTCAGGAAACGCAATGGTAACAGGAACCAGATATTTTTCTAAAAGAATCGTGACTCGTTGCCTTGCAGGTGTGTTTGGTTCAGAAGAATGTGTCCTTCATGCATTGGAAGATTGGTCATGAGTCATGAGTCATTCCTGTGTCCAAACATAATTCTGCAGTTCTTTTTTACTTCCAGCGAAGCTCGATGGCTTGTGAAGCTGACAAGATCAGTGACGCCATGGCAATGCGTGTGACGGCGGTGTTTCTAAGTGGCAAGCTGTGCGTTCTGGACGTGATGCCGGACATCACCATTGGGGATTTGAAAGAAGAACTGAAGGCTCGAGCTGCACCCCTCGTCTGGGCGAGGTGTTCCATTGGATCCACTTCGAACCCCACTTGATCGCGCAATGGGGAGCGATGAGTCATGAGTAAGATGTCACTCCCATGCGGAGATGGACAGGAAAGGTTGAGAACCACAGCGACTAACAAAGGGACTACAGCAACCATAGCGACTAGCTGACTAGCCAGAGAGACGCTTGTATTCCACCAATGGACCTCATCGGTGTCGTCTTTTGGGCTGGCTGAATCGGCGGAAACATCTTTTTCCGGCCCCCATGGGTGGCTGCAGATGGGGTTCCCAGCAGATACGTCCCGGAGTTGCGGAAAAACCACCAAGAAAACATAAGAAACCACTAATTACATTGCAATTATGTGCGATTTTTTTGAAATTTGATTCCAGAAGCAGACCTTTGCCATTGGTTGTTCTGCGGGGAACCCGCAGAACTAGGTTGCCCCGAGGTCAAAGCTGAAACCACTTGCATCCGATGGCAGGTATGGCATCCGATTGAAAATGACGTCATCCGGAAACTGAGCACTGTGCAGGTGGTGCTTGAAGGAAAGAAGCTTGGACGTGGAAACATGGGAGGAGATGAAATGTTCAAAAAGATCAAAGCTAAGGTTGAGGGTTGATGAATCGAATTTTCTCAACCAGGTCAGGATGCTTCTACTTCTCCATATGCCGGCTTTACAACCAATATGACCAATATGTGTATTCGATTTGTTTTGGGGTGGCAGGATGGCTGCCCCTGCCAAACCCGATCAGCATTCCGCACTAGCAGATCGGGCAGCGGCATTGGCTGATGTTTAACAGAATGATTATCATTAAACACATTTTTTGCTTTGCTATTTATACTGGATCGGTCGATCCTTGGTGTGAGCACTAATGAACCAACAAACAACAACTCTGCTTAGTTGTCTTCAGCCCTCGGCTAGCAGATGATCTTCCAACCAAGTTGCTGATGTTCATGATTTGCTCCATGGGTTTACTTTGTGATGAACCTATTCCAACCAAGTCCAGTGAGACATCCGGCGCCGAGGACATTGGATGACAATTATGACACGATCGTTGAAGCCGGAGTTTCCCCAACTGCAGTCATGGAGGCAGGAGAAACAGTAGAAACTCCCCGGAGCCTGAAGCTGCACCTTTGATTGAAGGGTGTTGACGGAACAGGTGACTTCAGATCAGATCAACTCTGACCATGGTCTCGGGGTCCTCACGAGAGATCTCTGCCCAAGAGGGGTCTTGTGTTTCAGTGGAAGAACTTGGAAAACCACTTCGGCGGGTTGGATGTTTTCCAAATCCGGAAGCAGGCCACTGCCAACATCCGTCGCGCTGGCGACTGCCCCGACGTCAGTCAGGTCTTTTTCACGCTCGACCCACCGGTGGAGTGCAGCAGCCGAATGGACTTCCAGGGCCTCGGTAGTCAGTTGCTGGATGTATGCATTCCGGAGACTGTAGCTGGTTTAGCACTCAAGACAGCTGCTTTCTTTCTTTTCGGTTGGTTTGCTCAGTGAACGCCGTCTAGCCGCTACTGTAGCCAGGAGAGAACCATCCCAAATTATCTGCCGGTTGCTGGAACCTCAACGCCAGGTAAGTGCCATTGAAGACTTTGCCTTTGAAGGCTGCAACTTTTTGCTGCGAGTGAGCATCCCTGACTCAGTGACTTTAATCGGACGAAGGGCCTTTGAGAATTGCACTTCTCTGACAAGCTTGACGATCCCAAACTCTGTGATCAAGATTGGACAATATGCCTTCTCAGGCTGCGCATCGTTGACCAGCTTGACGATACCCAGCTCTGTCACTGAGATTGAAGACTGTGCCTTTCTAGGCTGCACGTCTTTGACGAGCCTCGTGATCCCCGACTCTGTGACGGGGATCGGAAAATATGCCTTTTCTGGCTGCAAATCTTTGACAAGCTTGGTCGTGCCGGACTCTGTGGTCATTGGCAAATTGGCCTTTTTGGGATGCACGTCTCTGCCGTCTCTGACGTCGCTAGGGAATCACATTCCAACTTCTTTGAGCCACCCTGCCACATGCGCAGGCCGCAGCAATATGTGGCCAAAGAAGAAGTTGCGATTAGACTCAACAGCTGTTGTCTCAAAAGAGTGGCTCTTCTTGGCCGCCAAGGGGGATTGGTATGCAGTTGTTGGGTCCGAAAGACTGGAAGACAGGGTCGTTGTCCACGTGCGCCGTCCATCTCGTCAAGAGGAGGTCTGCATCTCGTCAAGAAGCTTTCTTCTTTTGAACTCTGGATTTTTGTGCAGTCCTTGAAACTCAAGCAAAAGTGTTTGTGAGGTGAAAAGCCAAGGGTTGTTGATTCGAAGTCAATGATTTGACAGCTTTTTTCTTGGATTCCCAGCCACCGCGGAATGAGATTCTCACTACATCTGTGGTCACCTCAGCTTCCCCAGCGGCAAAAACATCAACTTTGTTTTCACGGTGACACACGCAAGCTGATTTGGATGCCGGAGGCTTTTTTTGACCTGAGGCAGCCCCTCAAAGGAGACTCAAGGACCATCAAAGACCTGCTGTCATTTTTGCAGATATTTCTTTCGAAGAACGGGGGGGTTGGCCAAATGGCCTGTAACCAACAAAGTCAAAACTTGGTACCATTCGTCTGATTGGTAAAACGCTCTGTAACTTTCGATGGTTCGATTGGCCTCTACCTGAGTCTACCCTACTCGAAAGTCTACCAAAAATATCACATCAGCTGTTTTCACACCTTTTTGCTTTGGAGATCTTTGGAGACGGAAGGGTCCCAGGCAGCAGAACAACCTGTCAGAACCTCCACCGTCCCAGAACACCGGGGCCGCTGGGAGGATTCCGATTCCACACCGAGTCTGTGAGGGTCTTCAAGCTTCCATCGGAGAAGCTTGTCCGAGCTGAGCACCGGAAAGGAGGTGTTTCTTTGCTTTCTTGAGCCATCCCTTTAGTAAAGAAAGTTATATAATATATGTTAGTGTAACGTATCTGTATTTTTCATATGTGTACGTATATCTATAGAATAACCAATATAGCGTTCTTTTTGGTGCGAACCATTTGACTACCGCACGTTGTTCCCTGTTGCAGGTTGCTGCGTCCATTGGGAACATGAGCTTTGCATTGGCCTGAGACAACGAATGGGCAGTCGCAGCCATGTCTTTACCAGTGATTCATTCGGACGGTCTGCAACATCTGTTGACATCTATATAACTATGGCACATATGGTGATTTGATGTGATTTGAACAGTATCAAACATCGACCCAAACCTGACCAACTGAGATCTAGCCTTGCTTGTTCATGTGGAGCGAACTGCTAAGGAGGAGCAGATCCTATTTACACACCAAGGCATCAGCGGCCCTGCAGCCTTGCCAGACATGTTTTTCAGATCGGATGTCCCGGATAGTCCGTCCGTGTCCATTTTTCGTTCGAGTCCTGAAGAGTTTGAATGCAGCCGTTGAGTCGCCGAATTTGCCAGAAGTATCGCAATAGATGTTCAGATTTATGTATATATATATATATGTTACATGTTTACGTCAATTTGCCACCAACCAAGGGGTCTTGGAAATCGAGGCAGGCAACACTTATAGAAATGAACGGCACACATATGAACGGCACGCGCACACACACTTATAGAAATGCGTACTGATGTGAATGCGGTTTGCCACACGCCGGCCTAAGTGGAAAACCTAAGATTCCAGGTAAACGCATCACCAAAAAACTGTCCTCAAAACGATGAGAAACCTGCAAGCCTCCAAGCTCAAAAGCTCAAATTCCGTGACTGCCGATGGTGAACAGATGCAATGGCTGGTCAGCTTGTTCTAGTTACAACGGGACCAATTAGGAAGTTCACAAGTACGACGCAGGTACAGGAAGGTGATCAGCCTTCCCTTCCCATCCATGACCGTAGCTTCGTTGCACAGGGTGGGTCATGGATGCCGTGTGCCCCTGCTGAAAAAGAAAAAGAAGCAGTCCAAAAGGAACCTTGTGACCCCAAAGGTTACACACACACACACACACACGCGCCTCCCCGAGAGAAGGCGTGCCTTTTCAATTGAGCTCCGGAGGAGGGTAAGGTTGGGTGAAAATTTAAGCCAAGAGAAGCGGTGAGAGAGAGAGAGAGAGAGAGAGAAGAGAGAAGAGAGAGAAGAGAGAGAAGAGAGAGAAGAGAGAGAAGAGAGAGAAGAGAGAGACAGAGGTGCTCCCAGCTACGACACAAGCGTCCAAGGACACACCAGACAGGAAAAAAAGGGGCTCCCAGCTATGACGCAAGCATCCAGGGACACCCAAGAGAGAAAAGAGAGAGAGAGAGGAATCATCACTCTAAGGTCCCGGCAGGTTCCAATGAACCTCAAAATGGCTTTGGTCGCTCTGACCACGTTGAGGTGTTAAGCCAGCTTAGACCGCTGCGGTCACGTAACGGCATAAGCCAGCTTGGAATTCAATAATCCAGCAAGTCTTGGCAAATAACTTTGGCCTAAGCCTACTTTGTCCGCTGCGGACTGCTTTGTATACGGGCAGGGGGTTCGACAAACCCCCATTCGACGGGCCCACAGGGGGCCACTCTGCGGGGTCACCCTGGGCTGGCATGAAGCCAGACACACTTATAGAAATGCGTACTGATGTGAATGTGGTTCGCCACACGCCGGCCTAAGTGAAAAACCTAAGATTCCAGGTAAGCGCATCACCAATCCTTTCCTCAAAGCGATGAGAAACCTGCAAGCCTCCAAGCTCAAAAGCTCAAATTGCGTGACTGCTGATGGTGAACAGATGCAATGGCTGGCCAGCTTGTTCTAGTTACAACGGGACCAATTAGGAAGTTCACAAGTACGACGCAGGTACAGGAAGGTGATCAGCCTTCCCTCCCCATCCACGACCGTAGCTTCGTTGCACAGGGTGGGTCATGGATGCCGTGTGCCCCTGCTGAAGAAGAATTAGAAACAACCCAAAGCGGAGCTTTCGTTGACTGATGTGGTCACAAGTCTCCGTCGACATCCTTCTGTGAACAGACACCCCAAGTTTCTTCCACCAAGTGGGGACATTCTTCCACCAAGTTCATCTCGCCACACAATATGGAGCTCCTGCAAAGTTTCTTGGACATTGCAAGACAAAGAGAGCTGCGACTGACGCTCCCGCTCAGTTGGCTGTTGGCTGCATTCTAGTCGCCCGCAAACTGTTGATGTTGTCCACATGCCCAATTCTGGATGTTTGATTCCTACTTGCAATGCCTCAGCCTTTGGCTGTGTACCAAAGAAACCTTGCAAAATGGCAGGTGCTGCAGGCATCCTCCTATTGGTATGATCATGATCATCCAAAAGCTTTGCGTTTGGACCTATTGCCTTACATGAACGAGGCTGGCTATGGGGGAGAGAAGTACAACCCGGTTGAGACTTGAAATAAGCAATGCCCGTGGGTCGAGCTGAAGAACTTCCACTAGCTTGGAGGCTCCCAGCCAACTCGTGCTGATAGTCTCCGACTCATGAAGGTAAGTGGGACATGTGGGACAGCTCAGGCACAAATTGACCAACAGTGTTTCCACTTCGAAAGCACTAACAGGAAGGCACAAGATACCTGGCCTCCTGAGGAAGACGTGCTGCACTGGCTCCAGCGACGGGCTGAAAGCTGCCGAAATCGCCAAAGTCAACGTCGGATGTGGGATGCTCAGGTGGGGCACGGAGAGGCAGATGGCAAAACCGGGAGCTTGCGATAGCATTAGACTCTTAGACGCTTTGGAGATAAAGGACTTCATAATTTACAAGATGGGCTCAAGCGGCTCGAGCCACCTTTTTCCATCAACAAGTCCGTACATTCCGACAAGAACATTCAGTCCAACGTTGACTCTCCTCTGGTCTGTGAGTTTTCACCAGCCCCTAGGTCAAAATCCACTATACCAGGAAAACACAGGTCTTGGTCTATTTTCCCTCTCAAATCAGGGCCCATACGACCAGGCACCATCAGGCACCTAGGTTTGAATAATATCCACGGCGATAGATTCAGCCCACCAGTAACCCACCCACCATAGAGCTACCTTCCTCCAAAAAACAAAGAATAGACACTGACACTGAAGATAAGGATGTCCAAATTTCGTTGACTTCCCAGTGGACCCGCTTTCCCAAACGTTCTTCGGATGGTGGAACAACCCCTCTGATCGCGGCAGCAGGGCTCCGTGTGAACGGGCGAGGAATCGATAGACAGGTGAATCGTCAAACAGGCTTTGGGCACGTGAAATCATGTGAACCCCCATGTCTCCAAAGGCGCATTCCAAAGCCTCAGGACCCACAGGGCCCAGCCAAGGAAAATGTGGGAGCAGTCCAAACGAAGCTTTGGAGCAGCTCCTTCACTAAGGGAGTGTTGGATGGAACCATTTTCAGCGCCAAGGATGTTCGCCTTGCCCACCCAGGCCTGCGAGCGAGGCAAGGATGAGCCCCGAACGTGGTGGGGGGGGGGTGTTTGTTCCTTGGAAAGGCACGGTGGATGTGACTTGGTCTAGGGAGTTTGTGTGAGGGGAGAGGACGTCCATGGCCTTTGTTGCCTTTTCAAACTTCCGTTGGTAGTTGGTCGTGTCTTGTCGAGCAGGGTGGGTGCAGACGAGCGTTGCGTCAAGCCGGATGTGCCAGGTGACCTGGTCCAGCACGAGCGTTGCGTCAAAAGCCCTCCAGCATGGAGCGTAGACTGATGAATATGCAAACCTCCAAGGGGACGTCCGATTTCCGATAGCGACGTGCAGTGATTTGCGATTAGACTCGGAGTTCTAAAACTTTCAAAACCATCACTACTTTGGGGCGTGCAAGCGCATCCAAGCCAAACAATCCCTAATTATAACCTACTATAGACTATAACACCAGTAACTATTAACAGAGAAAGCGGGTGGTCCGTGACAGGTCAATCTCCTTTCACAACTCGGTGCGCCTCTCGATCCATCTCCAACCCACCCCCCATCTCAGCCCATCTCTCTTTCTCCTCGCGAGCGCACCATTTCGGTTGAAGAACCCAACTGTTCAGGTCACTGGCTACCTCGCCACCCGGGCTTAAACGCCAGGAACTGGCTCGCAAGCTTCCCCGGCGCTTTGCCGATGGCTTCTGGATCCACGAGGCGCTAGGATGGCTCGGGCGGCAAAACATGCCCCATGGTCCCAACACGGGGAGCGGCAGTCCTTGTCCAACGAAAAGGCCGTGTTTCGTCAACTTGTCACCTGGATGGAATGGAAAAGTCGTGGGCCGTCGGAAGGAATCCAGTGCCGAGGCGACATGGATGGACACCCGATTCCTTATAGATAGAGTCATACAGAAGTCTCCAACATAATGGCCACTTTGGTGGTTCCACCGGCGATAACTGCAACTTTGGAGCTTGAAGACCTGCCCGGCTTCGGCCTCCCATGCAGGTCTCCCAACGGCTCCATGTCTCTCCAAGCGCTGGCCTGGAGGAGCCAAACCACTCCGGCTCGGGGGTTGGAACAGTGGAAAGATCAAGAGAAAAGTACATACAAATTTAATTTGATAGATTTTAACATGTGTACATAATATAGTGACATATATATACACATGTATGGTGGTACATTATATTCTTTGTAATGTTACTTTTTTGACATGGAGTAGGTTGAACATTGAACATCACCCTGGTCCAGCGGATCGGATAGCGATTGGTCTCAGCTGGTCCGGTCCTCATCTCACCTCTCCGAAAGAGGTCCGCGAACCGCTGTGCGGCAGTTGAGGCTCCCTGATGGCTGGAAGGAGTGCTCGAAGCACCTGGTTTTCCCCTTAAAGAAGCCCATGGAATGGACTCAGCGGACCGACTTTGCCTCGGTCTCGAGGCATGGACTCAGCGGAGACTGGAGGGGGTCAGCCCTGACCACCTCCCGACTCCGGAACATGTTCGCCTGAGGTTCCCCCCATGGGCGAACAGGTCTCTAGACTTCGGGGGTGAACAGACCAAGGGTTTATCCGAGTCTGGGACCGAGTGGGGTGTTGAGGATCCAACATAGAAAGTCTTACGACTCTTAAAACTCCTCCTTTCCAAGAATACGGCTCTCTGAAGTCTGAACCATTCTGAACCAATGTATTCTTATTTTTTTTTCCATGTTTTTTTTCCACCAAACCAGCTTTGCATCCTCACTCACTTAATCTGGAGGTTCTTTCCACCCGTCATGTCGCCTTAAAGCAAAGATATGTGGCTTTGCTTGCTTCGGCTCGAGAACTTCTCGATGAACCACCGACGAAACCACAGCAAAAAAGACACAGCTCCGATGAACCACGCGAAGGGCGAAGCTCATCGCCGTCTTCGACGACACCAAAACGATCTGTATGTACGAACTTCGTTTTCACCTCAATCATGTCAACCTGAGATCATCAGAACTTGCAGCCTCACCAGATAGCCTCACCAGATCCTCCGACCTACAGAGATGTGCTGCACTGCGCGACATTTGTAGCAGCCATCGCTTGGTTGGTTGCTTTCGATGTATTCAAAGCTGCTGAAGAAATGGAGAGCCAAAGAAGCGGAAGAGGCGACCTTGCAGAGACCAGTCGAGACCCTGAAGAGGACGCTGTGCGACCAGGGCGACCGTATTTTTTCCGCACTCGAGCATGAGTACGGCTGAGTACGGTGTGTTTCTGTTGGAACTTGTCCCGTGGTGGTCATGCTGCTGCTGCTGCTGCTGCTGCTGGTGTTTTGCCGCTGCTGCTACTGCTGACATCATTTGCACTTGTGACCTTCTGGTTTTTGCAGAACACATGCCTCAAAAAAGCCCAAGACGCTTATCCAATCCAATCAGCCCAAGATGTGCCAGGAAGAAAGCTGATTGGATTTTGCCGGCCGGTCATGGCTTGGACCCGGACTATGAGGTCTTGTTGCGGGTGAGGCAAAGGATCAATGCAGCGAAGAATTTGAAGGACTACTCCTGGCAACAGCTTCTTGGACGCGTTTTGGTGGGGAGACACCGTTTGGGGTGTGGGGTGCGGAGTTTTCTTTCTTTGTTGGCACGCGGTTTACAGGGAACTGAGAGCATGAATGAGGACGCACTATTTTTTCAGAAGGATGAGGACCCATTGATTGGGGAGGAATCGTCATGGTTGAGACACACTCTTCTTATCCTTTTCTAAGTGTCGGGTATCGTACCCGAAACTTAGAAGATGAATCTGTCACTATCGACCAGCAGTGCAGAAATTCCTGTCAAGAGTCAAGAGCTTATCAGGAAGACACCCTGTTGGGCACGAAGGCTTTGACGACATCAATAGTATATTGTATAAATTATACTGTAGATGTATTGCTCACGAACGAAGGTGACCGGGCCTTCTTTTTCCATTGTGGCTTACTATTGTCGTTTAAGATGAGTTTGGATCCCAACTTGATTGATTTGACTCAAAAAAAGGCATAGATTCTCTTGAGTGCCGCTTGTGTGATTCGCTTGTGTGATTCGCTTGTGTGATTCGCTTGTGTG